TTTTTAACAATTTTATTTACTTCGGTACGAGGCCTCTGGTTTTGGGGTAAACCGGTGCCGGGATCTGCTGCATCTTGGCGACGCTCTTCGGCCGGACTCGCGCTGCCGACTGCAAACGCTGCTTGCTTCTCAGCCGCGTGCTCGAAGCGTCGACGTCTATGTCGCCCTCGTCGCGCAGAGCTTCCTCCAAAACGGCCTGAATCGTCGGCGCGATCGCGGGTCCCTGATACTCCAAGGTCGTCCGCGCCGGCATGTCGAGGTCCAGGTTCAGAATGTTCTCGCCCGCGTAGCGGCATCCTCGTCCCATCGCGAGCGCGATCCGCGCGTACTCCGAGACCGGTCTGCGCGAGCCCGGCACGGAAGTCGGTCGCTTGATGGCTTCTACGCTCGACGGCGCGGGATCCTTCACGACCCAACAGTCCTCCTCCTCGTCCAGATGGATTCTGGACAGGATCTTCGTCTTCTCCTCCTCGGGAATGAAGTTCTCGATTATGAGATACTTGAGCTTCAGCTCCTTCATCAGTTCGTGCTGTTCCTGCTCCAAGTCTCGTCTGTCCCTGTTGTAGTCACTGGTCACGTCCTCCAGTTCCTGCTTCAGAGCTTGCAGCTTGGTGAAGCACTTTCGCAACTTTCTGGATTTCACATCGACCTCCTGCTGCAACGTAGTGTACGTCTCCCTCACGCCGACCATTGTCAGCTCCTCGTCCTCCAACTTCTGCTGCATCTCGACCTCGCGCCTCTTACGTTCCGCGATCTCGGCCGCCTTTTGCTCCAACGCCCTCTGCTGCTCGTTCGTGTGATCGATTATATTCTTACCACCGCAGAGCATCTTGCTCTCCAAATCCTTTATTCTCTGGACGAGATTCTCGGTCTCCTGCTTCTCGGTCTTCAACTGCTCCGCTATGAGCTTCTTGTCACTTTCGGACAATTTATTATCTTCCCGACTGTCTTCCGTCTCGGATTCCGAATCGATTGCCTCGTCCTCCTTTTTCTTTTCGACCTCTTCTTCTTCCGCTGCACCACGCCTTTCTGCGCGAGTTTCTCCTTCAATCGACCTATCTCCTCCTGATACTGCCTCAATAAAGCATCCTTCGGATCCTCATTAATCCTAGGCTTGTTCTTGATGTTCTTAGCACGGCTTGCGTATCGCAGAGTCGTCAGAGTCTCGTCGTAGTTGTAGCTGGCCGGTCCGATGTTCGCTACCATGATCGTCTTCGAATTACCACCTAAAGAGTCCTGCAGCAATCTCGTCAGCTTAGAATCTCGATATGGCACGTGCGTGGTTTTCCCGTCCACCAACGCCGAGATCACATTACCCAAGGCCGACAAGCTCAGGTTAATCTTGCTCGCCTCCTTCAGCCTCTCCCCCGACGAGCCAGTTTTGCTCTGTCTCTCGCTGCCCGCGAGATCGACTAGATTCAAACGTCCCACTCGGATACCACCGGTGTCACCGATATTACCCATCTCGATAGTGATGAGGAAGATCGCGTGCGACCGCGAACTGTGCTCGTTCATGTTCGTCGCGCCGATCGTCCTGTTTTGATTGCCCACGTTCATGAGGTGCTGTATCTCCGCCGCGCTCTTGCAAACGGCGGTCGACAGATCCTTGACGTACACCCCGGTGTCCGGCTTCTCCTTCAGCTCGAAGCGCAGACTCTGATCGGGATGCAGCAGATCGCGTATCTCCTCCTGATAAATCTCCAGATAGCTGGCCCTCACCAGATACTGCATGTTCTCGGATCTGCCGATGTGATTGAATATGTGCTCGAAGGAGCGCGGGATGACGCCACGCCTCTCATGATCCGCCTTCGAGCCCTCCATGGTGTACGTCTTCCCGGTGCCGGTCTGCCCGTAGGCGAAGATAGTGCCGTTGAAGCCGTCGAGTATCGAGGACACCAGAGGCCTGACCGTCTCCTCGTATAGCTCCTGCTGGCTGGAGCTCCAGTCGTACACCGCGTCGAAGGTGAACACCTTGACGGTCTCGCTGGACGGATCGTCGCGCGGATGTCGCACCTCGACCGCACCTCTGGACGGGATCACGTCGACCACGCGGCTGTAACCGCGAGTGATTTCCCGCTCGTCCATCGGTCGGCATCGCACGACCACCTGCACGCATTGCGTCGGCACCTCGACGACCGCGCTCGACTTCATGCTCTTCTTTTTCCAGGTTTTCTGCTGGTTGTCCAATTTTTCCATATCGGCGGCGAAGTACGTGGTCTCTCGTCTGAAAAGCACGGATATACTGAGCATGCTTTATCCTGACCGAATCTGCTTGCTTCAACTGGCTCTCATATTTAAGAAATTAATATTTTAATAATATTTTAATCAATTATTTTTGTGTACAATTGATGTCGGTATCGTATCAATTATTTTACATCTCGATTTTTTAGCCTTGTGGACAGATAATATTTCAAAAATCTACTATCATATTGATTGCATTATTCTCGTTATAATTATTTATTATAAGTTTTTTAGAATCGTGAAGTTTGTATTTAAAAATATTTGCGTGTAAATACTAAATTGTTTTTAGGTAAAGTTTGAGTACATAATTTTGAACGAAAAGTTCCTTCTTACAAATGATGTATTCACATTTTTATAGAATTTTATAATCTTACTGGAAGACTAATATTTATATAAATTAGCAATTTACTGAAATTTTAAACCAATTGTAATGAAAATAAACTTCTTTTTTAGCATAACAACCTTTTCAACATTTTTCGTAGTTCTATAAGTTCTCAAATCACAACGTAAATATAACTAGTTTTTCATGTGACGATCGATCTTTTAATGAATTTAATTATCTGATCGAAAAAATGTTTGAAAATAGTGTACAAAATAAATGAGATTAAATTAAATATTTTCTATAAATGATAGACATTTCATTTTATTAAAAATTGAATAAAGAATAGCGATTATATATATTATATCACCGAAACTTCAAACTCAAATAATAAAAGGATTGAAGGATTTTTATACGCATCGTCACATGGCTAAATATACCTAAGTAGACCCAATCTTATTCTTCAATTAATCCACCGCGGCCTACGATTGCTCAATATTACTTTCGTGAAACTTCGTCGCCATGCTCACAGTACTTTCCGAATCGATAAAACTTGGCACGAAAATGCGTTATGAAAGTCATACACTAGGCAATATTAACCGTACATTACATCATAAAATTCTGATTATTTTTTATTTATATTTATAATTACTTAATTATCAGTTTTCACATAATATTTTTTGAATTTTTATTTATCACACGGTACTACTTTTTGAATTTCTTTTTTCTGGAAAAAAAGTACAAGTGGATTTTTTGCATTCTGTTTTTGCATTGATTGAAAATAGATTGTAGAGCCTGCTAGACCTGTAAGACGATATCGACCATTTTCCGGTTTCATTTTAAATGCGCTGAACTGCATTCCATTTGGAATAATAATATCAATAGAAATAACGGAACGTATCATTAAAATTCAAAGCGAACCGCAAGTAAAGATGACTCGATGTTACTTTGTGTAAGGATCAGATATTCATTTTATTCTTTAAATCGCTGTCCATTACGAGCCACTTCGTCCATAAATTATACATATAAAATCATTACGTTACTCGATCAAATAATTTAAACACTCTTTTATAGAGTATCTGCGTAATGAAAAAAAGATCAAAGCTACGTATCAAATGTCAACTTTAACATTTAATAACACATATCTGTATTGATTTTACAATTTCTCGTCGATCAAGCACTTGCAGCAACGAAAGGACCTATTTTATAAATTTGAAAATAAAATGACCGCTAGAGAGAAAATAATTGTTTTAAGTAATATAATTAAGAGAAAATAATGAAACCATCTCATGTGCGCTGTGCTTGTCAATAATTTAAACACAACCTTATAGAATATCTGTAACAAGACAAAAATAAAAAATAAAAATTATGCATTAAATTGATTGATATCTATGAAAACACGTAACTATATTTATTCTTCAGTTTTCCATCGATCGAGAGATTGGAGTAAAGCAAGAAATTATTCTATAAATTTGAAAATAAAATAACCACAGAGAAAATAAACCTTTTTTAGTATCAAGACGCAAGGCACCTGTCGTTAATTTAGACATAACTATATAGAATATCTACAACGAGAAGACAAAAATAAAAATTACACATCAAATTTAATATTTATTAAAACACGTATTTATATTTATAGTTTCTAGTCGATCGAGAACTTGTATGGGATTGCGGCAACGCAAGAACTACCCCCGTAAATTTCAAAATAAAATAACCACAAGAAAATACATAATTGAAACCGTGTCTCTTTTTACGTGCGATACCAAAAGAAACGGAAGGCTTGTCGAATTCGCAGTACTTACGGTCAAGGGTTAAAGGTAGAAAATGTATGCGCGTACATACGTGCACGTCACGTCACGTCACGTCAAAGGTGGGAAGAAGCGAGAGAGAGCGGAGTTCTCGAAGGAATTGTTAAGCACTTCTGTGCCCCGCTGATCGGGGAGAGGCCGCGCACGGATTGTATAAAGGGTAAATCTCGTTCGTTCGTTTGATTCATTACCGTTTCTACGTGTTGCCCACCGCCGTGAAGTATCGGTATTGATCCATTGTTTAGAACCCAGAAGAATTTGTTGTCAACGGCTCGCCGCTGTTCTTCCCCGCATATTGATTCTCGGCGCAGAGCGCGGCGACAGGGGCCCCCGCGCTGGGGAGAGTCGAGGAGCAGCAGGCTCGCGGATCGGAGAATCACGTTAACCGGCAAACCGCCGAGACACGCGCGATCGTGTTCACTTCACGGCACTCGCGCTACGCGAAAGCGATCGCGTAACATGCCTCTGACAGTTCCAAGACGGGAGAAGGAGTCGAAGAAACGCGTGAACGTACACGATCTTACGTCGAGCGTGTGCGCGAGCGGGCCTCTCTCGCCGCGCCGCGCGACGCCGGCGCCGGGTTGGGGGGACGTCGAAATCGATATCACCTCCCGTCATCGAACGAAACGAGTCGAGTCGGGAAAGTCGGGCCTGGCGCGCCGAGCGAACTCTACCTTACCAACTGAGTCTCGTCCCGTCTTTATCTTCTACCGTGAAGCTCGTCTTCGGACACGATCTACAATCCGCGTTGGATTTCAAGGTGGAAATCTTAGAGAGAGAGAGAGACGTGTTTCTATTTATAATTTTTTTGCGTGTATTTTGATGTATGCGTATTAATATATTAATGTATACTTTAGATACGTATGTACACATTTTGCTTTTCGCACTTTGCACTTCGGCACATAATAAAATTGCAAATAGAATTATTCTGAATTCCACTACGCGAACTGTAGATCTGAATTATAAATTATTGAACTCGGTTGTAAAAATTGTAACAATAAGATATCAAAATGTACCGAAGTTTGTAAATAAAAATTATGTAGCAATAATATTTACGTGCGATTAATTTATGTTATATAATGTATATGTATAATTTTAAACCGCGGTCATATGCGATAAAATCTTTTATCGTGAAACATATCACGAAACGCAATGTATATATTAAATTAAATTTTAGGAAAATAATTTGTTCTCGTTTCTCTTGTTCAAATTAGTTTCTTACATTTTATAAACTTAATTATATAAAAATTTAGGAAGTTATTCGAGCATTTATATATTTTTATATTTTGTTAAATCTTGAATTAAATGTATTTTCGTGGAATAATATATTCTTTCATTTTACATTCACTAAAATATATTTATAAATTTCCGCTCAACTTTTTCTCAACTCGCTCCGTTTTTTTAACGCCAATCTTTCGTTTAAGGAAGTGACGTCAGGCACACGGTGACTCTCGTGTCTCTCGTGACTCTCGTGGTGTAGAGCGAAGTCAGCGGAGTGATGCGAGTCATTTACGTTTCGGCGAGCAGGTCGTTGTCGTAGTGTCTGTCGCGATTAATCGGACGCCGTTCGTAATTGGGGTTGATGACGGGAAATCGACGTTTTTATGCATAAAAATCTTCTGCATCCACCGGTGAGACTGGTCGCATCGCGATAGAATTCTGTGACACACGATAGGATAGGTTAATCGCGCTAAATTTAGCCACTGGCTATTTTCAATCTGTGGCATTTCGTGCTGTCGCAAAACACCGTGTTACATATTTTTACTAATAAATGAAACAAGAATTTTATTCGCCAGAAAGAAAAATAGTGACTAATCTTTCTTTAAACGTACAGGTTGACAATTGGAAAATTGCTGAAAAATTGATGGCTGTTATTTGGTGATAAAGTGGACAGAACGAAACGAATTATAACACATTACTCTGCAGAAAAAACCTCTGTCATTATGATTAGCACATAATGCAAAAAGAATATACATATGTAAAGTTGTAAATATAAATATTGTAAAAAGGAGCTGACAATTTGCCTGATTGCATTTATTGATGTTATCAATATGACTATCTATAAATTTGTACAACAATTGCAAAAGCTTTTCAAAATTATTAAGTATATTTTGCAGTAACTAAATAATATTAATAAGTGTAACTGTGCTTTCAAAAAATTTCAGATAAATTCCTTTCAGATAAATCCTTTTGGGAATGGCCATTCAAGTTGAGATCTGAACATATACAAGCCAGTGCAAGCCAGCCAAATTTTCGACTTTTTAATGTTTATTTTTACAAACTTACAAATGTATATCTTTTCTACCATATGCTAATAAAAATAATGGATATTTTCTGCAGAGTAGCGTTAATTTTATTTTCATTGCAAAAGAGCAATTGTGTAGTTTTTTCTTGATTGTCACTCTGTATATATATGCATTTTCTTAATTATATCTTAGATAAATTTATAGATTACCTTATGACAATACGTTTGATCAATCAAAAATGATTCCATGGGTTAAAATTATTGGATAACTCAATTACTATTCTTAGTTTTATCAGTTTGTTTCGACAAATATAGACTATATTAGAGTAATATTTTAAAGAAAATGCTAGTATATAATTTTATAACTTTTTTGACGTTATAGTAATATATTTACTACATTGATATTATTTAATATATCTTTTCAAATTATTTTTTCAAATAATAATATTGCTTGATATGTTAATTTAATTAATATCGACAAGATATTAATCTAATTAATATTGACAGGATTAGAAATAAGGGATCAATAGAAAAAAGATTAGTCTACAAGTGCACGTCTACGTGATAATAAGCTTGTTCGAATTGCAATTATAGAGTAAAATATAATTACATATTTCTTTTATCACTTACTGTTTCAGGTAACATGAAATTGTGGATCGTAATAGCACACATTACATTAGTCGCCACTAATCTATGGGTCACAGCCCACTTCCAGGAAGAAGTGCCCGAGGATAATGAATTTGCAGAATTTGAAGATTTTGAGGAGGAAAAGCCAAGTGTGCTCATCGAACGCGTACCAGATAATCCAGAATTGTCTCAGGAGGAGGAATTGAATCAAGATTTCGAGGAGGACGATGTCCTGGTTACGGACGGTGACAGTGAATTCGATCACTTCCAAGACGAGGAAGAATTTGAAGGACTGGACGTTGCGGGTGGCAACGCCGGTCAGAAAACCGACGAACCTTCCACGTTGACCATTACGAAAGTTCCGTTCCATCTGCGGGAGAGATGGGACAGTTATTACTTAGAAATACTAATGCTCACTGGACTGGTGGTATACTTTATAAATTACGTGGTGGGACGTACCAAAAATGCCCATATAGTCGAGCAATGGCTGACAGATCATAAGCAGCTTTTGATGGATAATTTTTCCCTCGTCGGCCAGTCAAGCAAATCGAATGAGAACGCGAGTGACAACGGTTTCGTAAGACAGAGCGAGTCGCAGTACCAGTTGTACTGCTCCGGGCGTGTCGGCTGTGATTCCATGCTTATCGAGATGAAATTAATAAAGCGGCAAGACCTGGTCGCTGTATTGGCTCAACTAGTGCGTCCGCAAAACGATCAGGTTCACATAGAGGTGGAGCTCTCCAAAGACGAGATAGATAATTTCGTTTTAGCGGTCGCCACGAAGCGGCTGGCGATGCACCTGGTGCGCGACATGGCCGACATTAGCGTGTACTGTCCGGAGAAACGGTCTGGGGAGAAGTTCGGTCTTCCGTCGGGCTTTTACGTGATGTCTGAGATTCCAGAGGCAACGGCGGCTATCTTGGACACCAGGATTCAGCAAGCCTTCACGAAGTTTGCGCCTTACATAGAATACATACACATTAGTGATCAATTCAGTGGGCGCAAGCCCCAGGAGTAAGTGAAAATTGACTGTGCATATCAAATAACGATTCGTACAAATAAAATGTAATAAAGAGCACTTTAGAAAATATATGTCAATTATCTTCGACGTCAAATATTGATAAGTAATATTAACAATATTAGACGTCAAAGATAATTGACATATATTCTAAAGTGCTCTTTATTAGATTTTATTTATAAGCACTACTAACATTTAATTTAATTCTAGAGATACTACTCAGTTAACAATGCCTGAGGTTAAAAGAATATTGGTGATGATCCTGAATATAAATCTTAAGGGCCGCACGTGCAATCCAGAGACTCAAGAGAAACTTAAACTTTTACTCCAACTTGCTTTCTATTTAATTGATAAATTGCGACGTTTTAAATTATCCAAAGAGGTCTGTATTTCTTTGCTTCAGTGAAAATCACCTTCAAAATATTGCAATTTATACATGTTTATAAATTTTATCATTTATAGGGTAAAAATAAAGCGGATAAAAATCGACTCAGAGTCGAGGAAGCCTTCCTGAAAACAACGCACGCCGCGAGGGCCGAAGCCGCGGCGCAAAGACGAGAGGAGCGTCGCAGGGCCGAGCAGGAAAGAATCCTCCAAGAGGAAGATCCCGATAAACAACGGAAGTGGGAGGAAAGAGAACAACGAAGATTGGCCAAAAAACGTGCTCCGAGAATGAAGCAGCTTAAGGTGAAATCTTTGTGATACAATCAAAATTAACGCGTGGGGTTGTGTATTTAAAAGAACAAACCTTCTATATCATACTCGGAAAAAGGAAGATTCATAATTATATTGTGAGATTGTACTTCGTCCAAATTATCTACGAAATATGCTTAACTTATATCTTCATTGAGATCTTCATATATTCACTCAGTGTTCTCACACGAAGTATCGAACTTATTAAAGAAAGTACAAACGACTGTGAAAAAAAAGTATCCTGCGAATTGTAAGTTTGTTGTGTAACGTATACTTTATTTGCCCTACTGCCAGCTTACATACTTAAATATCATAGAGATATTCCCTGTTGAACAAGAATAATAAAATTTAACATAAACTATATAGATATATACACATATATATATATTATATTATCATACCTCTTTTAACGCTATATACCAACGAACTGATACGATAAGGTAGTAAAATCGTTACCCTTTAAGATCCAACACATTAAAACAGCATTTATGACCAAAAGAGATCCATACTAATATTTCAAGAAACTTTTTTTTCTCATATATGAGATAAATGCATTCAATTCAGTTCTAAATAATTTACATATCATTGTAATATGTATGTACATCCGATAATAATATACAATTATTTGGATGTGTTCAATATTTTACACGTTATTGCATCCACCAAATGGAACTATAGAAATCGCTTATAAAATTTAAAAGCTTATACTTAAGCTTATAAAATATGAAATAAAAGTATATTATTTATTGCATAATAATAATAATAATTAATCATCCATTTTCCAAGCAATGTATCATAATATACTGAGCAGATTAGTTTAGGCTGAGCATAAATATCTATAATTGTATTACATAACAGCAATGCGCTTAGCATAAATATATTGTTTGAACAATAGATCAATTAGTTGAAAGCAGTAGAAATATACGTATTAAGTTTAAAAGTTGATCTGAATTTTTTTTTATGTAAACTTTAACTTTATTACGATTTTAGACATCAAGTACGAAGTTGAATATTTTAGCATATATTCAATGATATTTATTTGGATAATAATTAATGGTTACTAAGTGAGTATATCAATCGTAAAAATCTTTTAAATAACTCTAAATTTAAACAGATCTCCATTAAAAAGAGATAAAGATATTTGAATCTAAAGTTACTCTTATATATTATTTCTATTCTAAAGCGGAAGAAGTAAATTAAACTAGGGACTCTGGAGGAGTTTCGTATTACTTTGGATGACCGTTTTGCAAAACAGAAAGTTGCTGTCCGACACAAAGTCCGCTATGACTATGTTGAGTCCGCCGCGGCCGGGGCGTTTCTGACTTATCCAAGAGAGAATTGCTTTCTGGCAGCGGGACACCAGATCTCTTTGCAGGGTGCCACACAAATGTTTTACGACGTAGGGCGTGTCCGGCGTCAAGAGGCATTGCGATATGAATGCGATGTCCAACGATCTGCTCTGCAGTTCGACATTCAAGAAATCAATCAGCTCGTCCACGCGGACGGTGTTGGGCCACACGGTACGCCAGAGACCGGACGGCCAGAGATTCGTATAGTTGCGCGCGTAAACGTTCCTGTAGACCACGAACATCTGGTATCTCTTTTGGACCAGCCATTGCAGCGTTATGTGATCGAATCTGGACGAGACCGGGCACAATTTCCCGCGAAAGATCTGAGTTATCCGGTCTATTAGACGATGATGATCCTGTTCCGTGAAGGCGTAGAAGTGCTGGAAGTCCAGGATAACGATCTCGTTCGCATGCGAGGTGAGCCAGTCGGCCACGTCCATGAGCGGCTTGCTGATCTCCGCGCCGTACAAACCGTGGAGGAAGTATATGTTACTGGTTCCCGGCTTCGTGGCAACGCGCAGATCCAAATATCGAATCCCGCCGTTGAGTTGTTGCTTGATATCATCGCGTTGTGTAATAGACCAATTTAAAATAATGGGCTTAGCAACGAATGAGCAGTAACGTCCGAGCGTTCGAATGAAGGCAGGTTCGTCCGGCCCGACGTCGTTACGTCTCTCAATCGTATAAGTCATGGTATCGTGAGAACCTGGAAGTTACCAGTTTGTATCATTAGTATTCCTGGCAGAGATATACTTGATGCTAAATATAGTTCGATTACTCATTCGTATCTGTCTTTTTCTGCGGTTAAACAATACATACTGAACAGAAAAATCCATACGTGTGTTTATATATTTAATAAAATTCTCTTTTGTGTGCTTTTTAAACTGATTCCTTTATCACTAAAATAGATCTGCTTTAATAAAAAATATTTATAAATTATAAAAAACCGATATAAAAAGTTACAACAAAAAAGCAAAATAAGATAAAATTTGAAGTTGACGAGGGAGACTTTAAAGATGCACAACTTTCAAACGAAATAATTAAATAATACTTTTAACGTAGGTCCTTAAAGTAAATTTGGAAAATATTTCGGATATTTTATAGAACATATAATTATATAAGCAAAACTATATATATAAATTTCAGTTACATAAACATATCTCTACAATGTAAAAAGTAAGGACCTTGAATCGAAACTAGATGTATTAAGAAACTCTTCTCATGCAATTATTCTTAATTTTATCGAAGTCAATCAAGATTAATTTTATCGGAAGTACATTTTATTATCTACAAATGAGTATGAATCGAACAATATTAAAAATACCATCTTCCTCGGGTAAATCAATATCCACAGACAGAATTATAACTGCGCGTCAGAGTGATTTAAACGTACCGGGTATCGCCAGATGTATTATGGGTATATTCTTGAGTGGCGCCGGAAACCGAGTCATCCAAAACTCCAGATCATCGTTCAAAATTGCGCCTGGCCATCTCGCGATATCCTCTCCCCTTTCTTCGCCTTCCATGAGTTCCATGGTGCTCGAATCGCCGTCTCAGCTCACATCTCTTATCTATTCTTATCGGAGATGTATAAAGGGGACGCCGTCTTTATTAGTCTCGCGACGGGGCTGACGCGACCGCAGGTGTCGACCTGCGTGCGATGCAAATGACGCACTGCCTCGTACAATGTCGGCGCTTTATAGGTATTCATGTACTTTCCCACGGTGATTTCAGACCCGACCGTGCTGTACAGTTAGCGTACGGTCGCCCAGCGTAACCTCGCTCTGTATAAATGCACGCTCCTGCCACATATGTGCTGCGGCAATCGTCGCATCGCGGCGAATAACGTAAATGTTTTTTGCTCCCCTTGCAAATCTTTTACGTGATATTGCTTTTGCGAGACGCAACCTCGCGAACGAATGATAATGAAGCGACGAAAATTCAATGAGATTGCCTGAAACTAGGATTTCGAGTCCCCGCAGCAGAATAAACAACGTTACACGCTCTCTCTCTCTCTCTCTCTCTCTGTTCTGCGCATACGCGCGTTTTTCATGTGCGTAATTTATGAATGTACCGCGAGATACGTATAGAAATCTTGACGAACTTGAGCCACCTTTCTGCATGCCGATATTAATCAGAAGTCCAATTTTCGTTCTGCGCACGTTTTTTTTGTATTCTTCGGAGTAAAATTAAGACAAGAAATCCTATTCCAAAGATTCGGGCTCGGTTTTCTGCAAAATTATAATTTAATATTATAACTCTTTGCTATTTTTATTATTTATATGTTAATTAAAACAGCGAATATTATTTTGCTGTTATCCTTAAGAGAAGTATATTTCTAAGAAAATCTAAACATTAAAAAAATATATATATAAAATTAATCCATTAAGAGATATACTAAACATATATGTTATAAATTTTTCGAAATTTTCTAATTAATGGAAACCGCATTAAAAAATACCGACATAAAATTATTCCAGTTGTGTCATACATGTCTTCTGATTTGCGCAGTATTGTATTGCGTATTTAACGCATTTTACCTGTGAGTCATCATCTTCGATTATGTCGGAAATGTTATGCTTCTCGAGTATATTCTGCAGCGAATAAATAAGCTTCTGTTTCTGATCGGCGCAACATGAAGTACAAATGTCGCTCGTGCAGACATGCTCTTGCAACTGAAAACAATTGCTTCTTTGTATTGTACACAAGGATATATAAATGCCTTAACATTACACGGGTATCATTTACAATGCTTGTTCATATCTAAAGCCAACTGTAATTGTTGGTATATAATAAATAGTATATATAGTTTAATGATAATTTATATCATAATATATATAAAAAATTCTATATTGTTATTGTTATATTCTGTAACTAATTTCTTCGTATATAATTTTACATTCAATGGGTTCACATTGAATGCTACACACTACAACGCCTTCCCATAAAAATTGCAACTGTAACGAAATCAAAGAGAGGCCAAGATCCACCTAGAATCTTAGCTAGATAGGCTTTCCTCCAAGAGACCGAAGTTTGTAGCGCTACTAAAGAACACTCTGTGTATATTCATTCAAATGAAGAAACGATACCTGTAACGCTTCCAGGACGCACTGTTTGGCTTCGTTCAGGCTCTTGTTCAATTTATCGAATTCCTCGCATTTCTTTCGCACCTCCGTAAGGACTTCCTCCCGGGCCTTTTTGGTTTCCTGCAAATGTTGCTCGAGGACCTTCATCTTCTCTTCCGACTCCGTGCATCTCTCCCTGTACTCGTCTATCATTTGCTCGTAATTGCCGAGCCTCCTGTTCTCACGTTGCACCCGCCCGTATTCGAGAATCGAGTTCACGTAGTCCTGGGCGAGCTCGTGCATCGCACGTCTATACGTCAACGCGTCCTCCTGCGCGATCTTGGCCTCGCCCTCGAGCAATTCGCACTGCAGCCTGAACGCACGGTCGGTTTCCTTGGATTCCGCGCTCCTCGCCTCCAGGTCCTGGCAGGTCTTCAACATCGAATTCAGCTCGTGGTTCAGCGCGATGTTCCTCCTGATCGCGCTGTGCATCATGTCCGCTATGCGGATGTTCGTCGCCTCCTTGAATTCCCGAGCGAGCTGCCTCAAGCGTTCCTCCATCTCCTTCTGCATTCTACGTACACACAGGATTTGATAAATATATGTTAAACGACATTGAGAAATAATTTGTTAAAGATCTCCGAGGCATATGTACATCTTGAAGAAGAAAGATAAGATTGCGCAATTTCTGAAAACGCTCTAGGTGATTGTTGATCAAAGGTGACGTTTGTGATAATAAGAGAGATATATATACTTTATTGATTAATCTGTTTACTTAGCCTTGGTAACGATGACTGATTTCTCCGTTTCGTAGAGCGTCGTCTTGTGCAATTCCTCTTGCTTCGTCATTTCGTCTTCCTGCACCTCGAACTTGCGCATCAAATCCAGGCGGGCTAATCGCCAGTCTTCCAACGCATTCAGCTTCCCAGCTGACGTGAAGTAGCACATGAAACACGCACATTCTCGTTTATTCGTATTCCCTTTTCTGCTCTCTTTTTTTTTTTGTTATGATAATTTTTGTATTATACCTCCGAGTTTCACTTCAGCGCTCAAAGTGTTTTCCATAGTACGGTACTCTTGTTCCATCGCGCCTTCTCTCTTTTTGTATTCGACCTGCTCCTGCTTTCTCAATTCTTCCAGGGCCAGTAAACGTTCGTTCAGTTCACGAGCCTCCTCTATCTTTCCCTCCAGGTCCCGTTTCAAATGCGCCACGATGTCAGCTCGATCCTCCTTCAACTGCTCGAACTTCTTCGTTAAATTCTTTACCTCGTACTCAAGCTCGTCATTTCGACTGCGTAGCCTTGAAACAGCATCGGGAGGTACACGTCATTAAATCAGAAACAGGAAGTTATAATAAGTAAATAAGCGAGGCGTCGGGCCTCGATTTTAAGTGAACAAACCGTGACAGTTGTCTATTGTTGTCTAGAATTTGTTGCTCGTAAGACAACGTTTCTTGCTCGTTTAAACACTTTTTCCGTTTTTCTTTCTTCTCTTTGTCACCCTCGCGTACTTTCTTCTTTTTGAACATCTTGCTATTTTTGTACGCTAATTACGCATTGTTCACCGTGAACGAAACATACGCTTTCAAATTTTTTCTATTGTGACTTTATCTTAAAATATTTATATCAGAAGCATGCAGAAGTTACATCGTATCGAGACGAAACGAAATTCATGACAAATCCAGTCGGGGAGATTTTTAAATTCGATCGAAATTACTTCATTGTCTTCACACTGTTCGCAACGTCAAACATCGATGTAACTTCTGATTTTACCGTCCGTCTCTCTGTTGCCATAGTAAAGAGATAACAAATCAAATACATATATCTTATACAAAAATATATAAATGCACAAGTGACACGAGTATGAGGTACATGCATGAATAAATGTCAACACAATATGATTAACATAAAATGTCAATTAAAATAACAATTCTTATACAATAATAAAAGGCTATTACATAAAAAAATATTAACGAAATATTAACAAATAGTAAGTAATAGATATATTTATATACAGGATATTCCAAATTATTCCAATGTATTAATAGCGCTTTAAATATCAGTTTTTACGTTTGTGTTTGCTTCAATTATATAATTCGAGAATAATACGATGAAACAAAGAAATAAATTCGTATTTTGATTTTATTTACATTGCAATATATTGTAAGCTACATTATAAACTCTGGTGTATCCTGCATATAATGTAATAGAACAAGTTGTAAAATAAGAATACGTAATATAAGAAATATCAATACTTGGCACATATTCTATGCACCAATGACACTTGCATACTCCTAACATTCTCCATTTCACTCAATTTTGACATATGTACAATCTAATCTATTTGCATAATTACAATTGTTTACACAGCCACTGCAATATCGTGCACGTAAAGATCGTAACATATTCTTTGGCAATAAAACAATTTTAGTAGATAAATAATCAACAACCTTTTAATTCGTATTTTATATTACAGCAATGTTTTGTAAATATTTTAATATGTATCATGTGTAATCTAAGATAATTACAAATGTGATAATTACAAATACGTCACTGAAAAAAAGCTATACATATAAGTGATTTAATTGTACAAAACTACCACAAAATAATATTATTGCAAAGGTAGTTCAATGTTATACTTATAAGAAAATAATAATCATGAATTTAAATGAATCAGATGATATATCGTATTGTTTTTTTTTTTGCAAAAAGAGGGAACTCTAAAATTGTTTGTAATAAACCCGTTCATTTATGGAACAATATCCCTACTCACATGATATACATTGAGCTTAAAATGGAATTTTACAAACTAGGAACTAAGCTTAGAGTCCACATATTAGCACGAAGTAAACTCAAAGTAATTTATATTAAAAAGAAAATCACCAGTTCATCAGTTATGGCGTTGTACAATTTTCAACAAATTTAGGAATAATCTCTGAGTTAGAAGTAAATTACTATGATATATACATTTATTAACGCACTGAAATATTAAACTCGAGGTTATTCAACTTGCATCATCGGAAGGATGTTTATCAAAAACGATGTCCCAAATACGAATCTCTTATAAAATTCTTTCCAAGCTTAGTCTAGAAAAATCTATGTATATTCATATATGTATACGAGATAAAATGAAGAATGAAAAGTACAAAATTTAGTTAACAGGAGGTCTCGGTGGGGGAGGTGGCTCCGGTCTGCGGAAGTATATAATGAGACTAAGCATTCCCGTGAGAAATCCGATAAGATATAGATCCCAATTTTGTCCGAGCAATTGATCCCACTTATCCAATTGATCGACCAAACTGAACTCTTGCAGGTAATCAAGGCCGAAGAGGAAAGAAAGTTTGATCAGAGCTAGGGCTACAGGTATTCGCGCGTCGGGACTGGCGTCCGCGGCTAAATCGTAGCACCGCTTGGCTAAATGTCGGTCTTTAGCTAAACCTAGACCACGCTCGTGCATATATCCCAGATTGAACATCGCCTGAGCGTTGTGTTGTTGCTCGGACGCCGAACGGTAATGACCCGCAGCAACCTCGTAATCAACTTTTGTTCCTCTGCCGTAGTAATGCGCATCCCCAAGTTTCACCTGCGGCAAAGTGTGGAGCTCATTTCGTGCTCTCAAAGTGCAAACGCAAATTTTTCCCCATTTTTCTTCGTCGGTGTTACAAATATTTCGATATATCTCTACCACTCACCTGCGCAGCGGAATAACCTTGCGCGGCAGCTCGCGCCCACAGCGCCAGAGTTCGGACTAAGCCTTCCTCTTCCGATAAAATATCGGTTTCTCCCCTGTCCAAAATGAATGCCGCGTTACTCTGCGCAACCTCATAGCCCATTTCGGAAAACAAGGCATAATTGAGGAACGCCTCGTTCACTCTGCCTTCTCTGTAATCGGTATGCGCCACCATCAACTGGTCGCTCCATTTTCCTCGTTCGGCAACGTTTTTCATCAATTCCACGGCCGTCGGGCAACTTCTCATCATGCCAGTGCCAGTGGCGTGCATCTGAGCGAGATTGTAGTACGCTAGGACATGGCCGGACTGACTGGCTAAATTAAAATACTTATTTGCCATTTTGTAGTCTCGCCTGACGCCTATGCCACCTGAAAAAAATGAATTCAAGTGTTATTCACGGAGTAACAAGCGATTATCTACGTAAACGAGGAAGAGTGACATGATTATGCAATTACGAGTACGCGTATACTTACTGAAATACATGTTGCCTAACTGCAACTGTCCATCGACCCAACCTTGTTCTGCAGCTTGACTGAAATATTGCAGCGCTTTAGCGGTGTTTCTTTCCACTCCCATTCCGTATAAGTACATCAGACCCAATCCACTCTGTCCCACTGGGTTGCCTAACTCTGCAGCTTTTTTGAAATATTTATATGCCGTTTCATTATCTTGTTTAACAATTTCACTTCCTTCTAAATAAATCTGTAAATACACGTGAATAGAATATTTATTATATGATCAGACTATATTAGACAAATTATGTAACTTTGCGTACATATATAGTAAATAATTGTATTTGTCCAGCATGTAGCCAGTAAGTATTGCCGCTCAAAATTCGATTTTACCTTTCCAAGGAAAGCCATAGCTACTGGATTGCCGGCGTTGGCAGCATGTTGAAAGTATTGCACTGCTCTTTCGTGATCTAAAGGAACTCCTCTACCCCCTTGATAATGAAGCTGTCCAAGTCCGACCTGCGCTTGAGTGTCGCCCTTCTTGGCCAACAATTGATAGTACTCTATTAAATCTTGATCGAAGATTCCGGACGTGTAGCCCGGGTTCTCGTGCTCGTCCAAGAGACGAACCCGTTGTACCACCGGACCGCCACTCAGCGAGACTTCCTCTGCGACCTTCTTCGCTACCTTCCGATAAAAGTCTAACGCACGCTCGCAAGAGGCCGGTGTCGTTACGCCCGCCCAGTGACGATATCCCATTACCATTTGAGCGCGAACATCGCCACCGAGAGCAGCTACAGTATAATGAAGTAAAGCTTTTCCTTGAGAAGCATTAACGCCACCAATACCAGTCGCATATAAAAATCCCATTCCCTGTACACAAATGCATAATAATCAATCACAAGATTCTCCCACCGTCAGAACTTGATGTATTGTTTGTCACATCGCGTACATACCATATGAGCAGATGGGAGTCCCGTATCTGCGAGCTCCTTGAATATTTGAAATATATTAGGTATATCGTCAATAGCTACTCGCAGGGAAGGAGAGCCCAGAGGAGTTCCGAGTAATCTCCCCCACGCCAGTATAGATCTGGCCTCTCGATGGCCCAACTTGGCCGCCTCGACGAGCAGTCTGTAACCCTCGTGTTTGTTAGCGCGCATCGCATTTATGATACCTTCCGCTTTCTTAAACAACTGCTCGGCTGGAAAAAAAATCGTTACAGATAAATAAAGAAAAATCATTAGAAAGTGTGTGATAAAAAAATGCCATCTGGTGAAGACAAAAGGTTTTTTTTTTTTTTAGTCCAACGTACCTGCCTGCTGTTCCGCCGACAATGGCTCTTTGACCTCCTCGTCGAGCATGTACAGCTCCTGAACTTCCCAGGACTCCAGATCCTCCTCATCGAACGGCCTCTCATTCAGAACCAAGGAATCCGTGTCCTTCGTTTGAGCTATCATAGTCTTCATCCATACGTTTCTCGTCCCCGGATTCTCCACGGTCTCCTTGCTGGCGGCCTCCGTCTTGCCGCCCTCCCCGTCCTCCTTCCTGCCCGTCTGCTTGCCGATCTTCTCGTAGATCGGGTCGGACGTCGGCACGAGCTTCATTATCGTGTCCCGCAGCGCGCTAAGCTCGCGCAGCTGCTCGAAGGCGCTCTCCATGTCCTCGATCGCGACCTCCTCCTCCGTCTCCTCGTTCGTATTCGACTTCTGCGTGATGTCGCCGCGCTTCTTCGAGCCGGTCTCCAGCTCCGCGGCGGAGCTGCTCACGAGGAACAACGCCAGGAGCAGCGACAGGAGCACGACGGCGGCCCCGTTGGACTTCATAGCTTCGCGACCGGAGGAAAGCGAAGGTTTCAAACGCGTGGCCTCATTACAAACCTATAACGCCGGTTGACCTTAACGTTATTGTCGCTCATCGCCCTCCTCGCGGGCACAAGACGCGGTTATACGCGCGGCACGCGCGATTGATCGCACTCGATACGTACATACGTGGACATTCGCGAGGGCCGTCTCGCCTCTTCGACCAATTACGTCATTAGGACACGTCAATACGCATCTTCCCGCGGCGAGGGAACCCGCGACTACCGTGTGTGTGTTGTCAACAAAAGCGGAGCGAGGCAAGACCCGCCGGGGCGAGACCCCCGTCGACCGACCCCGTGCACACCGTTCGGGACCTCGTCGGCGCTCTCACGAGCGTGTCGTGTGTACACGCGTTATGGTACACCGCGCGGGAAAAACATCAGCCGCGTCAGCTGTTCACCGAGCTAAAAGCGTGCGATCGCCATAATAATAAACGGCTCGCGCTGCTGCCCCTGCCTTGCTCTCCCTCCTCCGTGCGGCGCACACGAATGCGTATTTTAGGTACACCTTGTTTACACCGCGCAACGTCAGCGCGACACGTCGTCCACTCTCGCGCGTGTATATCGTACCCGTCGACCGATGCCGCGAGCCGCGACAAAACGCGAAATGTCTCCGTCTGAATATCGAGAAACTGATGTTTCAATGCTCTTGTCCTTTGCTCTCACCACGTACGAGGCGACGTGCTTCGCGATAAGATATGCTTTGCGTTTAGATTCCAGGTAGGTAGGGATAGACAAATAGAGGGGAAAAAAAAACGATGATAATAATAACAGTGTCTTCTTCCGACGGAATTAATTGAGCCCCGCCAAGATGCCCCAATCAACTGCACCTTCGGAAAAGTGCAGAAGTGGATTTGTAGGTTAACTGCGCAAAAAGTTTTTGTTCGTGAACTCGCGCACGCCACCGACGAGCGTCATTTTTCCTTCGAGGTTTCCTAAAAACTCGAACATTCCGGAATTCGAAAGACAATTTCTTTTCTCGATTAACTCTCGTCTCCTCGACGGTCGCATTTCAATTTTCAGACCGTGCGACGATCGCGAAACCGTTGGCAACCATTGATGGTTGCCAACCTGCCAATAAAGTTATGACTGACGCGTTGTCTTTCTATCCACCAATCGGATCTGTTTGCCAAAGACCGCACGAACGTATGTCTTTTACGTTTTCTGAACGCAATTACGAAATCGCGTACAACAGTTAATCGTTAATATATCTTTTATCTCCGATATTTTCACTTCCGTATTTTCGAAATGAATACAATACATCTATAGATATTCGTATATTATAGCATGAGTTTTTGTATTCAAATCTTTGTATTTGTTAATTGTAATATTTTGTGATGAAATGATTACATTTTAATTTATTTCTTAATCTTTCGTTTAAATATTTTTCACACATTTGTCAAATATTTAAAAATGTCAGATACAATTCTGAATCGCACCCAGGGAGAAATGATCGGTCTATAAACGTTGATTCGACGTCTATATGTATAGACCGATCATTTCTGCCTGGGACAACGCGCGAATGTTTGCAATTTTAAAAAATGCCTACAAATCCCTTCTGGAAATAAAAGACGATTATTAATGTATACAAAGAATTGTACACAAAAATTTTGTATTCTTTAATTGTAACATATGCACTACCGCTCAAAAGTTTGTAGCACTCTACAGTTTTTATACATATAAAAACACAATTCTTTACAGATATAATTATTTTATTGAAAAAAAAAATTTTTTTTTTTAATTTTTGAACGTACACTATTAGAATAAATTTTTTGATTGGAACAATATGAATTTTCGTTTGAACATTTACGATGTTATAATAAATAAAGTTGATTAAACCCTTTTTTTTTCAAAATTTAGAGATGTTCCAAACTTTTAAGTGGTAGTGTGTTATCTGCAAGACGGAATGCGCCTATATATCCCGAGTGCAATCATAATTAACGCGACTTTATGCGTTAAAATATTTGTGACTCTATATTTAGTTCTCTATATTATATTTAGTAAGAGAAAATTAGCTAAAGAGATATGAAGTTTAACATTTGCATCGAGCTCTTTTCCTTTTATATATTTTACTTTTTCCTCAGAAATTAAAGACAACGGTTAAGCAATTATATCCAAATTATATACGTATATGTAAGATGTTTGAAACATTTTTTTTTTGTAAGAATATAAAATTTTCGGAAGATTGTCAGGAGAAAATGTATAGTTTCGAAGTTATTTTTAAATTCCAGTCGAAGTGTAATTACAAACTTATTCGATTCAGTTTTCCGGAGATTCAAGTATTTAGCAGAATATTTAAAAGATTAAGAAATATTAATTTAAAGGTTAAAAAAATTAATAACTTTGTAGATTAACATTTCTAATAAACCAGTTTTTTCAGACAATTTTTATAATATTTATAAAAGAAATAGATTAATTCATTTTATTTATTTTTTAATTAATGACGATTAAACGTCATATTCAATAAGTGCGTAAAAGGAAACTAGTTTTCTTAATTAAAATGCCAATAATGATTAACAACTTTTTACAACAAGTTCATGGTAGAGATCTAGATTCTCGCTAAATTATCATCGCTAACACATTTTGCAACTCTTTTAAAATAAAATAATATTAATAAAAATATTACAATTAAAAAAAACCTTAATTAAAAATATTTAAGTACGTTGGTACATTGAAGACGTTTACTCATTTCGAAAAATAAGCGCTGAGACAAGGTTCATTACGAGAATATGCGAGAAATGTGATATTACGACCAATTTATCTAATCGATATTGAATGCCTTAAATGCAATGTACTGATTTAACATCTATTTTTAAACTGTATGACAAAAATAGAAACGAAAGAAGTGCAAAATAAAAATAAAGATATTACGAAATACTAGAAATCATAAATATAAAAATATATGTATGTGTGTGCATTTATATTTAAATAAAATCAGAAAACAAATTTTCAATTCTAAAATTGTTATTCTAGAATTTTTTATAGTATCAATATTTTTTCAATATTTATTTTTTATAAATAATTTTATTAATAATCCAATTAGCCAAATTTGAGAAAAACATATTTGCCACGCAATAAATTTCCTTGGCAAAAAAGCGGCGATATGATATAATATCTGAAAATTAAATCGATGTTTACAAAATGGCAATAAAAATGTAACAAAACTTACTCATAAAATGAGATCGAATCTTGCGTCAAAAGCCGCGCATTTTCTGACATAATTTAATAGCAAACGGATGCGAAAAAATCGAGCGAGGATATGTACGGCACAATAGAATGGCAAATGGACAGCAAATACCGGGCAAGACTTGCGGTTACGTATAGCAATTATCCGATATGCCTTTTTAAATATCTTTAAATGGCCATCCATATACGTATTGTCCGCCTATTTTTCCTTTTTAAAAGAAGTAAAAAAAAAAGATGAAGAGGAATAACTTTTTGTTATAACATACGACTTTTTTGGTTTTTGACGCTCTCATTTTATGAACAGGAAGTTTTATAAGCAAAACACTAACGAGGACACAGATATAATTGTGATACAAAATTCTGATTAAATTTTCTATCAGAAATTTTCTATCAATGTCCAAGCGTATTTTGCTTAGAACGAATACCACAAACAAGATTTACATCAAAACTATATATTTTTTTAACTAAAAAAATAAGTTTAAATGAAATGTTGTTTAAACGAAAATAATAATTATGAAATAATAAAAGATGATGCAATAAAGTCAGAACATAAAAAATTGAACCCTATGTTCTTCGAAAATTTTTCGTTTTGTTTTCAGTTTCTATAAATACTGAATTTCTTTGCATTTTATTATTATAATTTACAAAAATAATATTTCATTATTTACAGCAATATTTACGATAACGGTCCTTGATATGTTATTGTCCGTCACTTTATCGTGCACTTTGCTTATTCCTCCTTACGCGGCGAAAAGCTTTACAGCTGCTTCACACTGTCAAAATATAACATTAGCACAGTGTTACCAATGAGTTGCCTCTATTAAATACGATAGTTTTTAAGACAATTCGAAGAAGGAGAGAAAAAATTAAGAGATTCAATAAATAAAGAATGGTACTCTGTGTTCTAAATCGGGACAAATAATCAATTGAGAAATAAAAGGAGGAAACGCAGACAAATATATAAAGTACGAAAACTTTAAGTCAACTTTGACATCGTCATTAATGTTTGCGAAATTAATGTTCTATCACTTGTTTTCTTTGCTAATCTAAAGCAGATGTATACTTAAAGTTTTTTTTCTTCTTTAATCAGACGGACTCCAATTTTGAAATAGTGAGGTCATACAGTTTTATATCTTTTATCTTCGTATATATAAATCTATTATGTCTTATTTTACTGCACGCTTAATGAAATATAATTATAACTAATTAAGAAGGATATACAGCGTGAAGAAAAAAACACTAATATTTTAGAATCACAAGCTCTACTTCCAATACATCATTTTTTCTATTGTTAATTTTGGTTATAGTTTTATAAATAATATAAAATAATTTAGCTAGATATTATTACTTAAAAAGCAATTTTCTTTGTTCTTTCTTAATTTTATTTTAAAATATTTCTGAATTAAATATAATGCATGTATATTCAAGTTGTATTCGGAAAGCGTGCTATTCCGTCATTATATCTTTATTCTACGTCCAATAAACAATAAAGATAAAATAAATGACATAATATGTATAGATTGTGTGCTCGTCGAACGCAATCTTAACATGTTTAAAAGAAGACATGAAAAATTTAGTTATATATTTAGTTACATATTTTAAAAAGATATTTATTCTAAAAGAATTAGTATTACAGAATATTGGAAGTATATAAGTAAGAAATTTAATAGCAAGGTATATTGAAAGGAATATTATTGCTATTATAGGAAATATTATTATTATGCGATAATAATATTATTATTACATTGCGTGCACAACTGCGCTTGTAAAACTCGATTTGTTAGTTTTTTATAAGCTAATTACTTTAATTATATTTTTAATAAGTTAACTACTTTATAAGCTAATTACTTTTTTATTTTAAATTATTTTACTGTTATAAAAAACTAATCATCAACTATAGATTTGTTTTTTGTTGCACTAGACTACATTAGAATTTTTCTTCTCGCTTTCGCCAAATTTTCAATAATAATAATTGTACATATTATATTATAATTAATATAAAGAGTGATATTAGTGCAGCTATAACAAACAGATCTAAAGATCTTATACTAATTTTAAGTTGTTCACATATTAATGAAATTGTTTTTTTTTTAAATAACATAAAACATTTATTTAGAAACTTCTTTGAAAAGAAACCTTCAGAAATTTAGGAAAAATTATCTCGCACTCCAGGAAGAATAAAAAAATACCAAATCGATACAGTATATATATATATATATATGATGTTTTTATATTTAAAAAAATCGTCAGTTTTATTAATATTTATATGAACAACTTAATATTTATCATTTTATACTGATTGTGAAATGACGCGGCGCAACTCTCATTCGATGGTGTGGCGCAGCCTTAAGGTTCACCGCGCAGCTGGAACTCCGCTCGTTCGGGAGGGGGGGGGAGGTAAGACGGGCTGTATGCACCGTATGGAGAGGATAGCGGTGGTGGGGCGGGCGCGACGCTGCTGCTGCTATTATTTGCTGTTGTTGGTTGAGTCCGTTGAGTTCTCCCGCAGGCGGCAGGGTTAGCAGCCCCGATAAATACGGGCTTGAACGGCGTCGGTATGGAGCAGTCTCTCGGCTTCGCCGCTTCGCGATTGAACCAGTGCGTTTGAATCACGAATCGGGCGACGGACGTCACTCGGGGAGTTCACTTCTGCAGCTCGCGCGAGTTGCCTGGCGGCGCGTACTGAGTGAGTCCGGGCAGTGGCTTTGATTTGAAGCGCGTGTCCGTCGGCAGAGCGGACCTTTCCTCGAGCCCGCGGCTTGTCGGACCAGACCCCGCGGTGTGCGTGTGGTGCTCCTTGTCTCGAGATCCGTCGATGACGTCTGTGACTTCTCGGGATACCCTCGGGGATTCGTCATCTCACCACGAACGAGGTGGAGCACGGGCGGCTGCGAAAGAAAAGAAGTATTCGGAGCTGTCGATCTTGGAGTCCGCTTCCTCGAGCCTCCTTCCGGCCTCTCTCTCTCTCTCTCTCGACTCGGCGTCTCGATGACAGTCGTCGGAAACTACTCGCATGTCTCGCATCCGTCCGTCCGTTCGCACGTGCTAACCGTCACTACGGCGACGACGATATAGAACGCCGGCCGACCGATCTCTCGTTATCGTTACGCTGTCACGTTACCGAAGGCCGAACAACGTGAGCGCACACGGTGCGACGCGTCTAACACGACGGCGACGCGGGAATCCGGCGTGCAGATAAATCCTGGCCCGGCTATCGTTTGTTTACGGCAATCGTGTCGTTCATCCCCTTTGGGATACCCATGCGATCGTCGCCTGATTGCGTCGTGCGCGCGCGAATAAGAGATCAGCGAGAGGAAGAGCGGCGAGGCGAGGGCACGGCCGATTGGGAGCACGAGAACGATTAGAGAGCTTGGCCGATAAAAAGCGAGAGATAAGGAGGAGAAATTGGCGCCCAAATAAATCGGATCCCGGTCGTGTTTTTTTTTGTTTTCTTTTTGTTTTCTAAGTTCAGTCTCCGACCTGTTTCTGGTGATCAAATGGTGGAGCGCAAGCATCAACGGCGCACCATGGAGGACAGCGTTCAGGGGAATGCCGTCCTCGAGGAGATCTTCTACGTGACGTCGAAGCGGAACACGTACTACAAGGTGAAGCTGACGGAGAAGGGCCTGAGCCTGCAGAAGGAGCACAACGGCGCCGCGAAGATCGAGACGATCGCCCTGGGCGACATAATCGGCTGCCGATGCATGCGGTCCAAGCGCAGGAACGCGGGCAGCTGCGCCTGCCGACCGGGCGCGTCCAAGTCGCAGATGAAGCTGGTGGAGTCGGCCGAGCTCTACCAGCAGTGCGACGACCTCGACACGTCGGCGTACCTGTACATATACGCGTACACGCTGAAGAAGACGCGCATGAAGGTCACGCTGAGGCGCGAACGCACGACCATCACCCTGCGCTTCCGCAGTTTCGACAAGTACGAGGACAATTTACGGGAGGCGAGTAGGTGGCGGCTGGCGATCAAGTGCCTGGTCGCCAACGTGCCGGTGCCGAGGAATCTGATGAGCCCGAGCCACGGGAACTTGGAGACGCTAGTCGGAGGTAAGGAGTGCATGAGGATAATCTCGATAATCGCAGAGCTTCTTACACCGGAGATTGACTCTCTGATCCATCGATCGGCACGGGGCAAAAATAAAGCGTTGATTAACAATGCATTTTAATATATCGATCCTGCATCCTCTATACGTTGAGTAAAATCGTCGGTACGAACGATAAGATGGTACCATCGTTTCGATGACGATGGCCGTTTCAAGTCAATTTCTATTATCGATTCCTTTTTTAGGCAAATTGACTTTTATAGACTTGATGTTTATAATGATGCAGACTTAATGTGGACTTGATGTAATAACAATAATAGCATCCGGCGATGCGTCGGGCTGACACATGTCAGAGAGAGGCGTAAATAGATTTAAAACAGATCTTACAATTATAGTTTGTTACATCACTGATTGTGAGTATAGACTAAATCTACGAGAACGAAATACGTATAAGTAGCGATTAACCGATTGTAGAACATTATTTCGTTAATTATGTATATATATGTCGTTATATACTTATCGTTCCATTTATATAAGTTATCAAACGTTTTAACTTTACGAAAAATTCCATGGAATGACTTATACCTATATATATGTATATACGTCAGCCTATGGAATTTTTCGCGAAGTTAAAACGTTTGATAACTTAATAGGTATAAGTGGAATGATAAGTATGCAATGACTTATACATATATATATATGTATATGTATATATATAAACTTATGAAATTTTGTGTGTATGTGCAATATATATTGTTCAAACATGATACTTAAAGATTATACTACTCGAACGTAAAATAATCGAGTCTGTATTAGGAAATTTATGTTATCTATATTACAAAATTTTAATAACTTCGATAGAGTTTCGCAGCTGAATTGTGACTATGATTATTCGTTTCCTGTGTTAGTCATACTATAAAACAACAGTGTGTGCACCTACTGCATTCTCGTATCACGTTATCTTGCTCTTATATAAATGTTAGAGAGACAAGATTATTTCTCATTCAAGTATGCTATATATACGCTTTTCTGATCTAGGCACGACTGTGATATACAGCATGTTTCGTTATTGATGGTACAAGCGAGGTGGTTCGACTACAAAAGATTCGAAAGATAGTTTTGTAACAAAGTAAATAATAATATAAAATAAAATTCTTTTAACTGAATGTCAAGAAAGCAAAAAAATTAGAAATTTCTTTTTTCAAGTTTGCACAGTTGTTACAAATCCATAAATTCTTTTCTTTCGAAATCTCTTTTTCTCTCCCTTTTATGACTCACTCAGAAAAAAAGTATTTTGTATGAAGTAAAGTTGATTTCGATACTTCACAGGTAGCTTAAACCTCGGCTTAAATGCTCGAAAACCCCGACAACGATATCGGAATGTCGAAAACGAAATAATTTATAGCTCTCGTATTGAGACCAAGACAAAACGATTACTGATAATACTGCCATATCTAGGGATCTTATTTTTCATAGAAATTCACGCGCACAAGCTTGAAAAAAACTTGCTGGTCTAAAGCTTCTTTTCTTTAGACATTTAATTCTCTTCTTGCATCACGGACTAACTGGCAGTAATGCGTCTATTATCGAATACGTAATAATCCCTTGTGCTCTCTCCGTGCAATGTTTCCATGTGCAAATGCCAATTATATCTGGGTTATAACGCGCACTTAGGAACGGTGTACATGTATCCTAGCGATTAGTTCCTGCAGACCGTGCGTTTCTATAGCTAACTTATGTAATCTCTAATTCCAGTCATTACGCGTGTCCACGTGATCTCGCGATTTAAGTTTTAGCGATGAAGATATGTATGTATATAAGAAACACGTGCTTGACATTTTCCTGATGTGCTATATGTTCAGTTTAATATAAATAATATTTCACAACTATCTTAAAGATTTTGTGGAGATGACGGAATTAAATAGTTGGAAGTAAAAATTTTGATGAGAATTTTGACAATGTGGCATTTGGAAGGCTTCTTGGCAATATTGAAATCTTGCAAAACGTGATAGATGTTTTGTTTCTCGCAAAGCGACATTTAAGAGACTTTCCTCCGAAACGTAAAAAAAAATATTGACTTATCGGAAACGAAATGGCACGGTTTGTTGTGCGAACATAAGACAAGCCAATACCGTGATTTTTTAACTATTGTAAATGACTTTTTTTAATAATTGTAAAAAGTTTTAAGAAACATTTACAAAAACTGCTTGAAAATTTATGAGCTGCAAGATTGATATGTTATACGACACTGATTTTAGCATATGTTTTAGCTTTATTCAGAATCGATCTTCTTTAAGAGTCCAGTTCAGTAAAAATACATTCTGATTTTAAAGAATTTACGACAAGGCAACATTACATAGGATTAATTAACATTGGAAATTTTCTAGGGAATTGAATCAGTTAAGGATTAACAAAGCTTCGTCAATCGTTCCATTTAGAAATGACTCTTAACTAGACTTACCTACAATAGTTTTAGCTAATAGATAATATCAGTAGTTTCGACGTTTTATCTTCGAGTTCTATCTGCTCTAATTTCAACTAGTTACGCACGGACATTCGCTAGTATGTTATTACCGCGGTTTTTGCGTTTCTTGCGTTGCGTGTTTGCATCTTGAGCGTAAAAAAGCACTACAGGTAAATAAAATGCTTGTACAGCATTATTGAAAACACATCGTAATGATAATTATTTTCCTTATAAATACGTAATACTCAACATTTGACGGCTTCGTCATTCGACATCGTCAAGATAATTCAAGGACGTCGGTTTAATCCGAAAATCGTAATTGAAAGTCGGATAAATATACGTCCGCCTTGCGTCCGCATGTGTTTTTATCACGCCGTTTTATATACATACGGTACACGTGGGACGTAGGGACGTTATGGTTTTATGACTTTGACTTTTGCCCGACCGCGAACGCGCGCTTGTTGCCATAATATCGCGCGGCGATGCGCGCATTGTTGAAAAGAGGTGTCTCGATTATTGCGAAACGCTTCCGGATTTATAATTTTCCGATCTTCCTGTTGGCATACGCTTGCAGGATTACAACATCCGTATCTGATTGATATCTTTTCATGACGCATGCATGCACGCGCGCGATTTAGCGCCAGCTGCAGTCGTACACAAGAGTCACAAGCGTCTCGATCACTTTCAAGTACAAAGAGGAAAGTCCGGTGCGCCGTTTTACTCCGAACTTGGGTTCGCGAAACAACATCCATTGCGGCAATAACGTTTGCCCTTTATCGGTAATGGCACAAAGTCCGGGTGTTTTTGCCTGTTAGCTCGGAGCATCGAGTACAGTATCAGCGTTTATCGATCTAACGATCTTGTCTATATGAAGAATGCGTTATGCAGAAATATCATCCATCAAGTGGATTTATCTCGGAAACGTCGATTGTCACTTGACACAGTTGAATGCATATAATGCACGTAATCGTCAAAATATTATGGAAACGATATTTTTTTCTTAAGATAAATCGTACAACGTAATCCCGTACGAATTTCTCGTACGAGTTTTCAGACGACGCGCAGACGATGGATTGTCCCTTGCGAAAAATTTGCGCTCGTGTATCATTTGGTAGATAAATCTTCATATGGAAAATACGCGACACGCAAGATGTGTCGTGTCTTATTCCTCAACGATAATCCGCGCTTTATCTTGTCTTAGATAAACTCCTGAAGGCCACGAAACTCTGTTACAAGCTGACAGAATTTTTTAGCTCCCAATTTTTTTTTATATTATACAGCGCTACGCGTAATTGATAGTCATATTTTTAATTACGCAATGACGTCGGCGCTATCGAAAGTATAGGTATCGATCTATATTCGTTCTATTTCGTTTGATATACGCGCTAGTTATCTCCGAACGCGGAAATGTCGCGTGTTCATAACGAACCGCTGTGACGCGACTTGCGTTATGTCCGCGATTACGTAACGCATTATTTATTGCGAACGCTGATACAGGAAAATTGAAAAACAATAATCACATGTATCGGAACGACCGTCGGCAGGGTTTTTACCGGAAAGCCGAGAGTTTGTGTGCTCCTGCACGGAGAGAATTTTTTTTTTAATTTACCCTGCAAATCATGTTAATTATGGGACAATATAGTATTTAGGCAAATTTTACTGTGCACTACAATAAGATTTCGCAGTAAAATTTGTTGTAGTGCACAGTAAAATTTATCTAAATACTATATTGTCTCACAACTAACATGATTTTCAGGGTAAATTTTAAAAGGAAATTCTCTCCGTGTGTATATTACGTTTCTTCCCAGAAAGCGATAAGTTCCCCGCGGACTTTTTATCTCCTTGAATTTTATTCGCGACGCCTTAATCCTCGATTTGAAGATAGAAAATCGAATTAAAAATAGAAATAATAGGAACAAAAGTAGAAAGGTTCGATCTAAATCAACGATCGCGTATCCTTTTTTTTTCTCATTGCAGTTGTAATTTATGCGCTTATATAGCGTGACAATTTATGCGCTCGCGAAGCAAGATACGGTACGTTAACTGCAAGATTTTCTGTCGCGCGAATATAACTTGCTCATCTGTTTCTTCAAAAAATTCTTTTAAAGTCGGATAACGATCAGCTACACGAAATCATCCCGTTCAATTTGATATGGAATGCGGTTTAATCTTATCGACAAATCGCGAATGAGCTATTGTAATTATCAATCTTTAATATTTGTAAAATTACCCAAAGGAGAATTATGCGAGTCTATTAATAGAAGACACGTATTTAAACACAGTCATTTTCAAGCGAAATGCATGTAAACATATTCTTTGACGTTTTCTTTAATTATTTCTGTCGTCATAGTGCTTTCATAAGCGCCAATCTTGTGCGATTTTTTGTTTTTCTTGTTTTCGATAGCATTGAAAAGAAAAATATCGGCTGTATATCAATTATCTTTTGTTATTGCCGACGTTGAACTATGGTATTGAATGTTTCAGGCTACTTAACATTAGATTGCATTAATCTTTTATCGCAAGTAAATAAATGATAAATATTTAAAGCAGAGTCAGTTCTTTCTAAAAACTTTTTCTGATCTATGTTTATACATCTATATTTATACATATATATTATGCGCGATCTTCGATTTTAAATATCAATAATATGAAGTTGGGGATGTAAGCGACTGAACTTGTCGGATCGCACATGATCAATTTAACCTCTGACGATTGCAAGTCATAATTATGAAACAACATGGTTGGATAAAAGGAGGATATTTTCTTTATAATCTTTGTTAAAGATGAAAACGCATTTATGCGATAAATACGGAAAGAAAAAGGAATCATTCTGTTGTTTCAGTAACTGTATAGTATATTTATACGGCTTTCTCTTATCTTGCAAAATTTATATGCTTTCTGCCTATCGGATTATTATTGGAATTCGAACAATGAATTAACGCTCTTCAAGATTGCAGGATGCGCGTTTGTTAAATTTTTTTACAATTAGTTTGCGAAAGTCACGTAGTTTATACGAGAGATTATTTATATACATACATATATACATACGTATATTATTAAATATATGCGGGCTGAATTATGCATGATAAATTTTACATGGTGTTAACATGCTTAACACGGTTGCTATGAAAAAAAAAAACTGAATGATGTCCTCTTTTGTTATATTGTTCTTTTTATGCACGCGATATTTTTTCGCGCGTCTCATCGTAGATGAGAGATAAATATTTATATTTGTGCGTCGCAGGCGTACATGGAACTGCTATACCTATTGTGTAACCTATGATTAAATTGTTATTTATTCGACGTCAAGTCACTTGTCAAATACGTCCAGCAAAGCAAATATATCAGTCTCGACGTGATAAAAAAAGTGTTGCGAACATCAATCTTATTCCGCGTGTTTTCTCTCTCGTATTGCAATTGTGAATATATCGAAATGTTAGAAATAAAATTGCGGGACTTATAATTTATTTTACTGACTTAAGTAATTGACACACGGAACGAGATGCAGCACTTCGTGCTGAAAACAGTGAAAACTTCTTGAAGGCTCGAGATGAATATCGTGGATCTTCGTTTTTTTTTTTTTATGAGAAAGGTAGAAGTTTCTCGAAGAGTAACAAAGAGCAGCGTGATGCATCCTGAATACTGAATACTTGGTGCGTTTGTGAATTTATACATTTTCACCGGAAACAAATACGATAAGGAGCCAGCGGATAAGGAATCTGTAATAGAGACTAGAAATTTTATTATTTTTCAAAGGTTGTTCCGAAGAAAGACTTGGAATTATTTTGAAAAGTTGTAGCGTGACAAATTGCAAGACGGATGTCTCTCCCGCATGTTCAATTTTATGTTCAATTCCCTCTCCCTTGTTCTTTTTCATTGCGTCTGACTCTTGTATTCTCTCTCTCTCGTTAATATTTCAGCATGCCCGGGCGAAAGTCGGAAGCTCCTGGTGCTGTGTAATCCGAAATCGGGACCCGGCAGGGGCAGGGAAACCTTCCAGAAAAGGATCCACCCGATCTTGTCGGAAGCGGAGAGATCCTACGAGATTCACATTACCAAGTGCCCCAATTACGCCCGCGAGTTCGTGCGCACGAGGGATATCTATCAGTGGAGCGGGCTGCTGATGGTCGGCGGCGACGGGATTGTCTTCGAGGTGTTGAACGGAATTTTCCAGAGGCCCGATTGGGAGAAGGCTCTGCAGGAATTGCCGCTCGGGGTGATACCGTGCGGCTCCGGCAACGGCTTGGCAAAGTCCATCGCCCATGCCAAGAAGTAGGCTCCCTCTTAATCTCACGCAGCCTGATTATCGTCGTCTTTCGTCTTTCGGGATTGCATGTAATCACGTGGAAATTTTCGGCGAAATCATTCTCTCAGATTATGACGTGTGGTACGATATTTTAGACGTTCCATTATCGGTCTCGTTCCGTGAAACGATCCGTAAACATAATTATGCGATACCGGTAAAATTTTCGGAAGAATCGCGTTGGGTGAGTAAGACGGAGCGATTAGCATTTCGACTCGCGAACATATATCAATATTTAATCGGATTATATAAGTCTTATAATTGAAAAATGTCCCTCATTTATTTAATTTATTGATATTGAATTGAGAATATTGAAATATTGAAAACTAAATAGCGGGAATATATAATTAACGAATTTATAATTTATTATACTGACTTAAGTGCTTGCGTGTCGACGCGAAACGAGATGCAGCACGTGCTGAAAACGTCGTAAAAGCTATAGGGATAAATACGTATATATCAATATTTAAGCGGCTTATCCGTCTTGTAAATGAAAAATGTCCCATTTATTTAATCTGTTGATATCACGGCAAAATTTTAAGGCGTGTTAGCCTATAAGAATAGGGTGATGTTTCAGAGAACCGTACGATCGCAATCCCCTACTTATCAGCGCGCTATCGGCGGTCAAGTGCAAAAAGACGTCGATGGACATCGTGCGCGTAGAGACCAGGAGTAAGATCCTTTTCTCATTTCTATCGGTGGGCTGGGGCCTGCTCTCTGACATTGACATCGAAAGCGAACGGCTGCGTCCCATCGGGGGCCAAAGATTCACCGTGTGGAGCGTGGCGCGCCTAATAGGATTGAGAACGTACAAGGGTAAAGTGTCGTATTTACCTTGCAACAAGGTCCCGCCGGCGGAGAGTATGGAAAACGGCAATATATATCACAAGGATTACGTCACGAGTAGAACGGAGAACATACTGTCGCATTCGAGGAGCTACGGCGACGAATTGGACAGGTAAAAATCCCGCGTAACGATAACAATGTTTTTTTTTCTATGGAATGTAACGATAACAAGGTTTTTTTTAATGGAATGTAATGACAGATAATCGCTTGTATTAAGGCCCGGTCAGTCAGTGTGACCGTTTGCCGACGTGCCACGCGCCACGCGTCAAAGATATCAAAAATGATTTCAAATTATACATACAAAAATTCTATCATCGATTCTTTCAAAGCTATTTTACATATTCGAAGATATAAATTGAAAATCAGTTCGAAAAACAGTAAATATGCACACTGCATATTCACCGAATTCAATAACTTGTTTGGCTCTGATCCCCATATTTTTGATAACTTTACATAAATTAAACGTTAATAAAAAAAATGATAATACATTATTCATATCGCTTTTTTTTTGCTATTTTTACCAAGTTTATATTTATGCGAAAAAATAATTATATATATACGTATAGGTGTAGTGGCGAGCTTGATTCAGACTCGAAAGGCTTCTACAACACTTTCGGTGAATCATCCAACGATTTGAATGGTTGCGACGATAATGACGTGATAACTGAGAATCTGGCTCTCGAGACGGAAAACGAGAGGAGGCACAGACTTGACAGCTTCTACTCCGCAACATCGGCGAAGTCAACTTATTTCAGCACAGGTTCCGCCTCGAGTTATCACAGTATGGAAGACGACGATAGCACAGAGATTGGTAAGTTATTAAAATCGAACGTCTATATAGTCGTACCTCTATTGAATTTACGACATGTATACTGATAAATCTGTCGTTAAGGTGCAGAAAGCATCTGTAACAATCAAGTTATGTATGGGCCGTCGTCCACACTTCCGGCACTAACAACGCAACTCTCAAATTGCTGGACAACGGTTCAAGGTAAGGTAATTGATTGAATGATGGAAAGTTCTTGCACCGATGATTCGAATTTTAGAAATTTTAAACAAATTTCTTTTCCTTCCGATCCGCTTTTCTTTTAAACATATACGTTTGACCAAATTTTTTGTCGAAGTATTTAGAAATTATACAAAACGAATATAAAATAAATATTTTAACTTTAACGTTTACAGTTTGAGACTCGAGAGACGAGTTCAAAGACACGTATTTGTTGTACATAAGTGTATGTAATATAATGCCAAAGGTTGTCGCGTAATCACTTGTTAACCCTTTAACTCCAGTTGAATTCGAAGTAACGTCACGTACCACTTAATAAAATGCCGAATGCAATGGAGCATAATTGAAAAAAAGATTTATAATGTAATATAGTACTTTTCAGTTGCGATGCTTGTGTGTGTGTGTGTGTACACACATACATACATACATATATATATATATATATATATACACACGCACAATATACATATACATGAAATGTATATATATTCGTATTAAAGTATTAATACACATATACATGAAAGTAAATTCACGGAATTTTTCCATCCATTCTTTCCAATGCATAAGAACTAAAGACGATTTTTACGATGTGTATATATGTATATAGAATACTTTGTGTTGCAGGAGAATTTATAATGGTGCATGCAGCTTATCAAACGCATTTAGGACAAGACTATTTTTTTGCGCCACGTGCTACATTAGCCGATGGAATTATTTGGCTTTTAATAGTTAAAGCCGGTATTACACGGGCCAACTTAGTACAAGTAAGTTATATTGTAAAGCACAGGATAAAGAAGCCGAAAGAAGACGGTACGGTAGCGTAGCAATACTCATCTCTCGTGTTCGCTTATTAGTTTTTATTAGGTCTAAGTAGCGGGACTCATGTGACTTGCCCGGGCGTTGATATGATACCTGTGAAGGCATTTCGGATAGAACCTGAAATGGAGGGAACGAGCGGACATATAACCGTGGACGGCGAAGAAGTCGATTACGGTCCGCTGCAGGCTGAGATATTCCCTTCCCTGGCATCGGTGATGATACCCTGACATAAACGACGATTCTTATACATTTAATTGGTGATATCAACAATCAAATAATGTTCGGATATAATCCGACCAGGGGATTCGTTCTAGGCTAGCTTAGAGAGTAAACTAGTTGTAATAGTAACACCAAACTGTTAATATGTATTAATATCTATATGAAGGTATTTCGGATTGTAAAACTTTTAAATCGACAATCTACGTAGGCTGTTTAAACATTTCAATCTGTTACCTTGCGATGCGCTCACTCAGGAGGAAGAGTTTTCGTTCTCCTCTTCGTAATGGGGATGTGTGGATAGATAAATATATACATAAAATTATTTATTAACCTAGAGTTGGACGGGTTAAATCTGTTGCATCTTAAATAGATACATTTAGCCATTTTGTAAAGTTTTTCTATCAGTTTGTACAGTGTATCTATACATGCAACATATAATGATATTATTTGTGCTCACTACTGTAAACTGTAATATTACGCGTAAGATGCTATATTTTGTTACCATGTAAATAATGAATTGTTTCTTTTTTACATATATAAATATTTTGCGATGCTAATCAAATGCATTAGAAAATTGTAAACTTTATTATCACATTTTTAATACGTTTGCGTCTTACATCACTAATGCACAATAAAATGATGCTGCAATGATGTTTATGATTTGATATGGTGCGATAAATGAAATATGTATTTTAACGATAAGTAACATGCCGCAACAGTCGGTTTGATTACACACCATCTGTTTTATTACTCTCATTTTCCATGTAAAAAGATAAAGAACAATATACATACTGAGACGGGAATTGTGTGAATTGTAAAGTCACAGTGTGACATTAATTACGTATGATACGTATATCATACTTAAATTACTAAATTGCAATTATTAAGATTTAATCGATTCTCCTAATTGAATTTCTCCCTTAATTAAAAAAAAAAAATTGGTTTTTTTTCGGTGCGCGATTATTGTTATACTTAATAAATGCAATTGAAATTGGAAAAAAAGTTGTTTTATTTAATCAAGTTTCTCCTGGATTTCTATCGTCTTTCATACCACATAATCTTGGCTTAATGTCATGTATAGTTATAGATTAGTTTCGCCAAAGTTTCTCATGGCAAGAAGTATTGCGATATGAGTCTTTAAAAAATTTTTGGAAAGTTTCGTTTCGTTTGTTTCATTATTAAAGAGAGCACCACATATATATATATATATATATGAACACGCACACCCTGGAGCCTCCGTGACGCTTCCGTTACTACTAATCTGCTATTCTTGACCACCTCTATTCATGAATAATTAATTCTAATTATCATAAATCGCAATGAGAGTGACGATTATAATGGAAACGCATATCTTTCTCGGACGCAGTCAATCTCCGTCGTGAAACTCATCGAACTAATTAGCTTTCGCGTTCCCCGATTGTTTATACGTTATAAATAACAGAGTCGATCGCTCATTTCACTGTCGCATTTCAGAAGAAAAAAAAAACAATTCATAACGCTCGTAACAACGTACTACGGCGATCGATTTGCCTCTATTTAATTAATATTCATAAGGATATAATATTTGGATAACGGAAGGCGAGACGTTGCCGTTTTTATGTTCTACACGTATCGTTTATTATTCTCTCTTTACAACAGCGAGTCCGTGATCGTCGATCGCCGTCGATCGCCGACGATCGACCGACCTCTCGTCCCATTCCTCTCTCGCTTTAAAACTTCCCTTTTGTACGTGGGTCTCCGCAATGCGCGTCGCACGAGTCGATGGATGATGGAAACAGAGATGAAGTATGTATATGAAAATGAAGAAGTGAAGGAGTTTATGGATCAGTCTCTTTACACAAGCTGAGTAAAACAACAACATGAACACGGAGAGCACGGTTTTTCTCCGACAGGCGAGCGCCCCCGTTTCGTCGTGCCGTGTGTGATAAAAATTGACGCGCGAGTTCCGCGGCAACGACGGGCGGCAACTGCGAGCTGTCGACGACAGGCAGCTCGAAAAAGACAAAAAAAAATAGAGGACAGAATTGTAGCTCGTTAAGATAATCTTAAGTAAAACTATTTATATGCATGTACGGGTGCGTCCCCGAAATCGTCGCCGTTACGCTTGCAACCTACGGATTCTCATCAGCGAAATTTAGAAGCGAAATCATGATCTTCTCACGACAAGTATAAAAATAAGCAATATAAATTTCGTATTGAAGATTTTTATTTTCTACCTTGTAACGCAACGAAATTAGATCCTTGCAAAAAAATGCACGATCGAAAAGTCGCCGCGAGAAAAAAATCGCGCGTCAAATGTTAGAAGTCACGTTTCCTTAAATCGTACAAGATCCCGTAGATCGATCAAACGGCGATAATTCCGGAGCATTTTATATATCCGTATATATATATATATACATATATATATATGTATATATATATACTATAAACATAAAACTGCCTTGGCCGAGATCTTTCCTCGTTTCCTCCGATTTCTCCCTTTCGCTCGCAACGTTCGCCCAGCTAATTGATAACAGTATCATGAATCACAAAAACGTACATACGCTGCACGTGATCGTGAGAAGAGATTCTACGAGAAGTTTTATGCTCCTGAAAAATTCAGCGAACGATTGTCTTTTGCTTCTGTACAAAAACGAATTCCTCAGATCTTCTGGCAGTTTATCTCAAGAAAACCGATCTCCGAATGAGCTGAGCGATGGCTATATATATGTACAATGCGGAGAACAATGGCAAATTTTTTTTTTTCATTCGCGCTAGAACTCGTCAATCAAACGAAACACCGGATCGGCTCCTGTCCTTTTATCCCCAAGGATTCTCCGAGGATTCCTCAAACGATTGGCGAGGAGCAGGAGAGGCTACGGTAAAGATATCGGCCAAGGCAACGATCGCAATATTTCGTACGCAGCGCACAGACGGTGTGTGTATATATACAGTGTCCACTACTGAATTAACATTAAAAATTGGAAATATACGCAGAAACGTAAATTCGGAGATCTGCGGAGATAAGTGGTTCTATCACACATCAATTTTGGCGAAACGGCCGAAACGGACTCCCCCGTCGTCGTCGCGCCCGATCGCGAGCGATGCGCGCGCGTGCGAAAGAAAAAAAAAAAACACAGAAGAAAAAGGAAGATACCGAGAGATTGCAAACGGAGTTTCCCAATTCCGAATACCGGAGGATCGGGACAGACGCATTTATCTCGCTTTGTCTTCCGCGTTGTCTCGCCTCTACAATGACAAATTATTAATTTCGAAATATTCGGCGCTCTCTCTCTCTCTCTCTCTCTCACTCTCCTCGTCCACGCTCTCCAGAGTTCATCGTGCACTTAAACAAATGTATACACACATACACACACATACGAGCAAATCAAGTGCATTCGAATTCGGAGCTTGTGCACGCTCCGTCACGCTCATGCTCACACACACGCACACGCACACATACACACACACATGCTCTCTTCCGCGCATCTTACAGTCGCAGTCTCTCTCAACACAGAAGATTACAAGAATCGATCTCGGCTCGGCGATCCATTTCGCTTCCAGGCGAGGCCTGCTATTCGAAATTTATTTACTAGCTGCAAAATCGCGCGCGTCGAGAAAGTATCTAAAGCTTACTACTTAAAATATAATTCCTACGAATTTGGACTGCAAGCGGCGAGTTCTACCTTCCTCTCTTTTTTTTTCTTTCCCTTTCTCTCCTTTTTTTTCGCCTCTCTCTTTCGAACGATAGAGACTACCAACGTCGGCACGCTGTCGATTGAGTCTTTTCGTTGTGAGAATCATGGTCGAATCGCGAAATCATGAACGCCCCTCCCCCCTTCCCCACCGCGACAAAATGACTCTTACATTACGATATTGTCGAAACTATATATTTATCTATAAAGGATAGAATTTATTACGAACACGTTACTGGTACGGAAAAACTTTGTGACGTCGCGTTGCGCGCTCATTTTAACATCGAACTAATTAATCTTTCCGCCGCGCCGTCAGATCGGCGTGATTTTTTTCTTTTGCCTCTCGAATCGAGTATGTGATGGTATTACGCAGGTGAACAAAACTGCTGCCAACTCCATAAATACAATACTTTTGGCAAATGAGGCGCGGCGATACGCAACGAATCGCGACGTATTCGGGCAACCAGCACTCGAATTGACGTGTCTCATATAAAATATCGAAAAATTTAATCGACCTTTTCGTGGTACGTACCGTTGTTCACCGTGAAATAACCGTTTTGGTGTTCGTGAAATAACCGTTTCCGTTCATCGTGATCGCGTACAATCGACAACTCGAGTTGATCTCTCACCCTTTCTCGATTTGGTCGACATTACGGAGGAAATAATTTCCGACGCGTCTAAACAGACGCGTAATATGAAATAAGTTCCAAACGTGGCCAAGACTTTCCTTACAACCGAATATCCCGTTGGATAGCCCGACCGATCGGAGATTTCATTCGTTTCATTCAACAACGTAGAAAACTCTAAATTTACAAGTAACAGCTCGTTTAATTTAATGCATTAATTTAAAGCGCTTCCGAGGATATTCCTTTCAACGAGAGGGCTTTACCTCCGAGGACCAAATCGGGATTATCACACGAATCTCCAGATTGTATGAATAAAGTGGGCTCCGGGAACACTTGATGGTTCTCATTGGAGTTTCCCAAGTAAGAGTTTGGATACTCTCTGACAGGATTTTCAGGCTTTATGGCGCTTTCCAAAAAATTCAAATCAGTTGATAATCAATTTGTACAAAAAAAAAATTTAATTCAATAATTTTAAAGAATATATTATAGTTGAAAATATATAATCTATGGAAAGAAAGTAAAAATTATGCAGTATATTCAGCTAATTAAAACGTTGTTTTAATTCAAAGAGCTTAAAGATGTTGAAAGTTGCTGATTTTTTAGATGTATCATTTTTTGATCATCGAAGCGGTATGGTGGATCAATCGAGAGTTGCCTAATCAGTGTCCAAGTTCTCTTACTCGAGAAACCGTGTGTGTATGTGTATGTGGTTCCCCTCGCAGTCGGGGACGCGCCGCGGGCAGAGGACGACACATCGCGAGTGTCGAGATATCAATAATCGTAATTTCCACGTTTCTCGCGATTGAAATCTCATTAACGAAGAACACTAAGAACACGCCGCCGAGAGCGGCGACGGTGGGATCCGCTCTGGAAGCAACACACCGAGCTTCCCTCCGAGCTCGTTATCGCACGCTCTGTAATCATTCCATACAAACGTGTAATACAATAACGTATATCAACTATATGCGCTACGCTGATGGGTGTGTACTTGTAAGGATATTTATACGTTAAAAAAGGGGGAGGAGGAGGAGGAGGAAAAGGCGGGCGAGATGAGGATGTAGGAGTCATATAATATGTACACACGATACTGGCAGTATAACTTTCGCCTTCTTACAATCTCCCTCGTCGCGTGGCGCACGTTCCGCTCCGATTAGACGCGCCGCCGATTCCGACACGCACGGCCGAAACGTAAACTTCGTCTCGCGATAGAGATAATTAACTAGACAAGACCTTCCCGTCCGGCTCTCTGCGGGACGAGGCGGGCCGATTAAAAATCCGCGCGAGCCGGCACGAACTTATTACATACGGTGGCGTTTCAACTCCTCAACGCGGCTCTCCTTTCCGTACTTTCCGATTTCTACGCGCGATAGAAATCCGAAAACGACCTCGGAACGATTGCCGAAAAATTCGTTCGCCGCTCTGGACACGTGCACGGAGAGAATTTCATTTTAAAATTTACCCTGAAAATCATGTTAATCGTAGGACAACATAGTATTATCGATTAATTTTATGTGATTTTACAATATTTTTCAGTATACATTACAACAAATTTATTGTAGTGCACAGTAAAATTTTATTGCAGTGTACAATAAAATTTGTCAAAATACTATATTGTCCCACGATTAACATGATTTTCGGGATAAATTTTGAAAGGAAATTCTCTCCGTGTAGAAATCATATGTAAAACGTCTCGTACAAAAAAAAAGAAAAACGCTGCGTAGAGTCGCTAACGCTCCTCGGTGTTGGAACGCGTGGTCGAGCGCTTTAAATCATTAGTAACGCACCACCGGTGCGACGCAGTGTCCTTCGTTTATCCTACTTAAGCATACGCGGTAAAAGGAAAGAAACGGCAATGGATCATCGTCGACGGAATTGTCTTTCGCATCGCTTTTAGTATCGTTAAACCGGCAGAGATGGGCACAGGAGAATCTAAAACTCGTAGAACGCTGCTCTCGCGCATTTCAGAGAGAGAATAAAGTTCCATAAATAATAAACATCACATAATTAAATTGTACAGTAACACTCTTTCGAGCGCAAATCTAGAAACATAAAACAATAAGAAGATTGTAGATAAATCATGTAGGATATTTTTTTCTTTAATATCGAATGACAAATTGACGAAGAAATGCTCAAAATCCTCCGTTTTCGCTGTAACGCGCTGAATCTGCTGAATCTGATCTGATAAATTAATAAGCATTATTTTATCAATATTAATAAATTAATAAATATCAGTTCTTTTAACAATGTAAGTATAAATTAGTAACAATAAACAATGCTGAATAATTTATTTTCTGCGAAGAAACTTGGACATTTATACTTAGACATTTTATTTTATCAGACATATCGATAAATGTACATCCAGATTATCCAGATTACATCCAAATATGTAGATATAATTAGCTAATCTGCCTGATGGAATTTGTTTCGTATATACATGTAAGGATAAACAAAGTATCAATAAATACCAGGTCAGGGTCAGAGTGCAGTAGCGTACGTTTCTACAATCTTACGATTTGGAGTTTCCCTTAACTCAGGCGACAAATACTCCGAATATCACCTACGTCTCTTTTGGTGCTTTACGTTCGAGATTTGGCCCTTACGTTATTCAGTGCAATTGGAGATTACGTTGTAGAAAAATGTATCAAATATACGCTACTTCAACTTCTTACACGCAATGACAAATTATTTGTAATTTAATGAACTATTTGAGTTTTTGAGTTTCCCCTATACGCCATCTCTTACATCGAATGCGAGAAAGTCCGCTAAAGTTCACGCTTTGTTTTCACTTTCGTAAGACTTGGATTGCAAGCACACATGAAACGGTTTCGTTGAAATTTCGTCGCGAATTAGCGAATCCGCGAAATGGTCGTGAGATAACGCGCGACGATGAAGTATGAATTCGCAATTTTTTAATTTAATTAAACGCCATTATATATTATAGCACAACGATGTCCGACATCATTTATTAAATATAACTTAGAAATTTGGCAGTGTTTCATTTCTTGTCTTCGTCCAATATTATTCTACGTATCACTCTAGATTGAGATATCAATAGAGTGTGCTGTGGTATGAATCGAAAAAGATATTTGAAATTATAACATAAAAAAAAGTAATTTACGATTACATATAACGCCGGTAAGACATTTTTTTTTAATAATATTATTAAACGTAATACGTTACGAAAGATGTGAACAATATTTATATAAAATATGACTCGCCATAGCCGAAATATATACGAAAGAAATCGACTATTGTATACATTTTACAAAAAATTATTTGTCTAAAGGTTGACGAAAGGAAGATTCCAAGTTTTTGACACACACTCGTTTGACTCGCTTATAATCTTACGATATAATAAAAAGACAATTCGTAAAAGATCTCTCATTTCATACCACAGTGGCCTCAGATTGCTTGAGCCTCTTTCGAAGAAAGCAAAATGCAAAAATGGCATTGCATTAAAAAAATTTAAATAAATAGTGAAGATTAATACTTACACTGAGAAAAAAATTTATGTTCAAAAAGAGCGTTCTAAGTATTTATTCAAAATAAGTCAATCCTTTTTTTAATTATAAGAAGCGTTTTCTTAATAAAAAGAAACATTTGAAAGAAACAACTTATTTAAATATTGTTTATTTTTAAAACAAATAAATCTTTATTTGTCACAATTTTTATATTTGAAAAAATCCGTTTTTTTTTTAAGAAATTGTTTATTTTTATATTAGAACATTTCAAATCAATGACTTTTTTTTTAATTAAAAAAACTCAAATTACTTTATAATTTTTAAAAAATATTACTTTGAATGTATAAATATTTTCTTGAATCTATCAAATATTTCTTTCATTTAAGAAAAGTACATTCAAAGAAATATATTATTTTATGTAAACAAATTTTTTTCTCAGTGTATATATTTTATAATGTTGATTCGAGCATGAGTTTTTTTTATGAATTCGTTATTTTAACCTATTGAGAAATTCGAAATGAAATTATCTAGAATGACATCCAACTGACAATTAAATTTAAGTAAGCAAAATTCGATGAGAATTAAATTACAATTAAAAAATGTAAATGCGCTCTATCAAATATTACGATCACGTACGTAAGAGACCATTTATAACTAGAATTTGTTTTAAACAGAATTTTCGTTTGTTCAACAAAAAAAAAAAGAAAATAAACAAGAATTTGTACATTAGTTTCCTAACGCGAATAAAAAATATGTATCTGCAAAATATGAAATGGAAAAGTATTTCACTGTAAAAGCGAAATTTCAATAATTTATCATAGACCGAAAACAAAATGCTTAGTTCACTTTTCTAATAAGCTCTTTTGATTTGAGACTCTAATAATGGCTACTACTGCAATGTCTATATTATATCGTTTATGGTTGCTTATATTTTCTGATTAGTAAGTTATGACCATAGATTCTGTGCAGTTCGAGGTACAAAATGCTTCTTACATATAATAATCCCAGCAGGATCCGGAGTTGTTGTATAAAATAATCTGTATCAAAAATTATTGTAAGACAATTTGCGACACTGTTACATTTACCGACTACTATATCTAACTGTGTTACAGTAACGGTTTAGATACCAACCTATGTTTATGTACAGTCGTAATTTAGCTTCAAGTTGTTTAATGCATAAAGATCGTTTCGTTTTTCTTTTTATACAGTGCGTAACTACACAATAATGAGCTCACGTACTTGTGTGCCTGTTAACACAGTTTTTCAGTAGTCCATATTTACGATATATTACTTTTTGCACAGATAACTTGGCCAATTACTTACGTATTCAGTGCGCCGTTCGTTTAATTTCAAATAGTACGAAAAACAGGTGTGCCGTTTTTTTTCTCTTAGTCTTGTATAATGAGCAATGCTGAAATCGGTATCTTCATCGTCTCAAGTACATTGATTTAAGTTTTATTACGTATGAAAAGTATTACAATTTACGTTTCTTTCGTGCGAGATCGTATGCGTGCAAATTGATTCGCGAAAATGTAAAAATTAAGTTCGTTTCAAATTCGTTTCTTCAGAAATTTTGATTTACGTCATATTGTCGTCTACCGAAGGGGCAATGTGAAACGTGACCTCAAGACAATGAAGTTACAGAAGGCGATGATTATTTCTACGAGTGTATTGAAAAATAACCTTTGCGCAGGATGTCTGCTTTGTTTTACTCTTTCACATTTCACTAACCACCAACACATTTGCTAGTACGTTAGTACAAGTAAGAGGAACAAGTGTCTGGTTCTCAATTCACTTTCTGTTGTCATATTCATGGTTTAGCCAAGTGATACTTAGAGAAGACGATTGGCCAATCTTTCTGCGACGAATGTAAATCACACGGGATTTTCTTTTCGCGTGGCTTACACCGTCAATACTTACGCAAATATACTATGCTACACTATTTACATTTGATAAGCAATACATCCGATTGTTCTTGCAAACGTTCTTTTTCAAGCAGGCATATATTTCGGTATGTGTATCCATTTCGTTATGTAGATGTATGTATATGAACGGATAAGGTGTACGCGTCGAGAATCAATGTGGATCGTATACCTTTCTTTTTGTGTGTTTAAAAATATAGATAAAAGTAGAAAAAAAAATCGTCGTTTAATATAATTTGACACACTATTCGGCAAATCAGTTTTATTTTAAATGCTGCGACGAAATTCATTGTCTAACAATTTAATGTCTATTGAGCGTAACAAAAATCTCTTGCACGATTCAGATTGATAATTCAACGAAATGCGAAATGTACGTTTACAAGAACATTCACATATTCTACGCCGATAAATACATACATTCTTAATGAAATGTACGTAACAAGTGGCAGTGCATGTAACGCAAAACAATCGATCACAATTATTTTGCTGTAAAAGCAAATCGAGAGAATTGATTATCAAGTTGCCGATGAGGTTGATCGCCATCGTACGCTTGATCTCAACTTAAAATTTGTATACGATTGCAATATATTCGTAGTAAGCGGATTATTTACCGTTAAGTATTGAGTCCCTCCCATTCGATGAGGTATTGTGTCTGACCGTTTGGCCCTATCCTCTTCGCTTTGAGGATGAACTTTTCACCAGCAGCTATTCTGTTAGCTGCACCGAAGTAAATATTCACCGATGATTTCAGATCATCCAGAGATATGTCGGGCGCACTTTGCTTCACAGGCGAACACTTTGGAGATGAAGACATACTGCCCTTCCGTTGCGGCTGCGGATCGGGGGGAGGTAATTTATCATTACTTTGCCGCTGTCTCAACCTCCTACCATTTAAGGCGTAATCCACACAATTCCCAATTTGACTACTTGCACTGCTCGAGGCACCATTAAATGAACTTCTTAAATTCCTGGCAAATTCACTTTTAACTTCGTTATTACGAGCCGGTAGAATAGCCGCTGTCTTGCTAGCGGTAGGCTGAAATTGCTGCTGGACTTGCGGTTGGGCGGGCGGACGTCCCCGTCGATGTTGCCGTCTACGTTTCACCTGCCCGTTTCTGTCAACGATAATATCCTTCTCTGATAACTGTCTCTTGGCTGGACGTACCACTGGCGGTTGCGAGATCACGGGCGTCAGTGGCAGAGGCAAGGTGATGGGACACTGGTTGTAAGGTAACGGCGTACTCGTGTTTGCTTGATTAAGGCTGCAAGGCGTGCCCGCTAGATCGCTGAATGGATTGTTCTTTCCCTCGAAATCTTTGGGTGGCGGAATAAAAGAATCGAGAGTTCCTCTTGAACTGGTCTCGTCCCCACTTGTGTCCGCAGGCGTCGAGGGTGGCAGGGGATGCATCAGATCCACGGAACTAGGCACAGACAGCTCGGATATACCTGATGTTGCAGCCGGTGGCGTTGGTGGTCCAGAAACGGAGGTTGGAGGTGTTGGTGGTAAATCGGATGCTTCCGAGCTCTGTGGTTTGCTCTGCATTGATGGAAACGAAAAAATGACATTATTTATCTTGCATATAACAAGGCGCAGTGCATTCCGCGTAGTAAAACATGTGATACGATAGCCAATCTTTTATTTTGCTTCAAGGCAGATAATGAAGTTGTATGACTATCGTATTATTTTTTCACATACATTTTCATATACAATCTTACCTTCCTTTCCTTTACTTTGGCAATTCTTCTAGCATTCTTCAATAATATCCTTGCTTTTCTGCATGTTGCTTCTCGTTCGTCTAGCGATCTATCCTTGGAACTATCTGCTTTCTCTCTTTTCTTCTGTTTACGTAGTATTCTTGATCGTGAACTGTTTAATTGTAATAGACGACGAAGTCTTTTTTGTACACTCAACTTAGGAAATGGGAATGATTTTTTTACAAAACCGCCGCCTATATTGCAATATCTGGAAAAATAATTTCAATTGTCTAATAAAAGATTTTAAAATGTGTTAAAATAACGTTTTACATTTTGAATATACATAAAGACAATAATAAAATTGGTTAAATTTAGTCTTAAAAAACAATTTAATAAATCATAAATAAATATGTGTAAAATTAATATACCTATTTCTTAAAGATTCTATTGACTGACTGGATTCTGTTAATGGAGGTGGACTTGGACACGAACTTTGTTCTGCTTCCGAATTTTGATAAATTGTACCTCGCATTACCATATGTGTAGGACTCACAGATATTTCTACATTCTCTGCCACCCTTTGCTTTAACGCAATTAATTGTCTTGTACTTTCCGGCAAACTCACCGGACTAAAATAATTAAGTTATATATATTACACAAATATTAATGTGTGTATATTAACAATAACAATTTTATATTATACGTCTACGATTGTATCATGTCATACTAACCCTGTTGGTGGAGGAAGATATTGCAGTCTTTTATTACCAGCCCAACATCTACGTAACACAGAATCGTCTATCTCGCCAGACATTGGAAAATTGATAAACGGAGAAGGTGGTGGCAGTCTGGTACGGAGGCCCCATATTGTAGTACGTTTCTTTATTTCTTTACCACACTTGAACCTGTTTCTATTGTTTGTCAATACTGTCAATATTGTTTGCCTGCGTACTTCAACACTGGCTTCTTTAATCTGAAAGTATGTATACACCCAATATTATATTATCATATACGATAATAAAATACATTATATAACATTATACAATTTAGATATTTTAATTATATTTTATGGTAATGTTACATGATGTAATGTTTATGTATATTATACATCATTATACATCAATATTACATCATGTAAATTATCGTAAAATATCATAATTAAAATATATAAATTAGAATGTTTTGGATAGTATTCTAATGCTGAAGATTCCTACCCGTGGTGGAAGTTGTAAGGTCAACCAGTTGTCATTTGCGTAAGGTATGATAACAGTGTCCAAATCGTAATACTTTTTAGCGTTATAAACAGTCAGATTGTACAACATCAGGTGCACCAAATCCACCCATTTCATTTCTAAACGCCGAACAAATTCTTTCCCATGATTGCACATTGAACAAACAAATACATAAAATCTGTAAGAGAATTATTAATGATTTAATTACATGAAATATATGAAGAAAATTTATACAGGGCAACATGTGACTGTGAGAGCAATCGATTCGTAGTCAGCGAGTTCTCTCATGTATACTTCAATTTTATAAAAAATTAGGTGAGAAATTGAAGGTGAATAAAAGTGTGAAATGAGTAATAACGCGCGTATTATGAATCCATATTTCAATAAAAACAATTTGTGAAACTATTCAAGTCTATATTGAAATTAATTAATTAAATTGAATCTTTGCCATCTTTTACTTACCTATCACCACTGTACAAAGGATAAGTTAAGCACCTGATGCACTTTTCATGAAACCACTGTTTACAACGACCGCATTGTAACATCTGTGCATACCATTCACCGTTAAGCCCACAGTAACAATAAATTTGCTCAGCGTTCACTCTGTGATGATGATCCCAATTTAACATGTCAGGCTGAAATTATAATGAAAATATATCTTATGTGTACAGTTCTTATTTTCAGAAATTTAACACACATTCTCATATATATATATATATATATATATATATATATATAGAGAGAGAGAGAGAGAGAGAGAGAATATAATTATAAAAATTAAATATAATAATATACATAATATACTTAAATCTTACATCATATGGCAATTTTGTCATGTCATCTGGTGGTGGTTGAGGTTGGTCCCTACCGCTGCAAACTTTTCTGATGCTTGCTTTAACCATAGAATTTTTTGGCTCGCAAGAATCACGCATACGTGGCTGGCTATCTGTGCATCTCTTACATATCCAGTTAATATCTTTACCTGGCTCTGGTTTTGGTATTTCAGGCTGCAAATGTATACATTTTTCATAAAAAGCATAATCTAAATCTCTTCCATCAGTTATTAATTAACAGGCCAACTTATGTATTTCTCTAATCTCAAATATCAAGTAGGTTTCCTGATGCATACCCAGCATACCTGATGACACATTTGATGGTAGCCACGGCCACATTTGTCGCAAACAACAATGTCATTGTCAGTCTTAGGCTGAGATTTCTTGCAAAGAACACACATAACATCCGAGTCTGGCATAGCCAATTTTGTCAGCTCCCTAAACAACGACCAGGAAGATGTGTTGTCCAGAAATTTGACAAGACATCTTTCCCTCGCCAAGTCCACCTACGTAGAGATAAATTCAATGTTATTACGTTGCTGCCGTTAAACACTTAAAGCCAAAGGAAAGTATAGGTTCATACCTCGACAACTGTACCAAGGTAATATTTGCCATCTCTGTGTTGAAGAACATCGTCTCCATGAGAGAAACCGACCCGCTGTTCCCTTGTGGTACTATCCGGCGCTGCCAGACTTTCCTCGGGTTCTGACATTTTCTACCCTGTTTCTAAATCACAAACACAGCCGTAATAATCAAGAATAACAACTGCTAATAAACAAATTAAACTTGATAAACTTGATATAACTGCAACAAAATAAATTAACTGCAGCACTTCTTGTGTAAATAAATACATCTTTGCAAGATGTATCTTTAACCTCTGTTATGAATGACTGTTGATAAACAAGAGAGAAAGAGAGAACACACGCAAAAAATTGAAGGGCTAATCAATGGGCTAATCCACAAAGCCGAATATGTGATATTGATGAAAACCGGTGTATTTTTCTGCTTTACAGTTCCTTCCGTTCTTGTAAAATGTTAACCCATTGTTAACCCTTTAATTATTATTAAACTTATCACGACTTTATTTCCCTTTCTTTCCAAATCTGCTTCAACAAGTTAATCATATCAATGCAGTTAGCAGTAGTAATGAGAAATTTATTCGTGACTTTCTTCTGTCACGCTGCGATAAAACAAAAAAGAGGACGAAAACAAATGTAATCTTGATTATTGCTCGTTATACATGCTAACCTATACATCAGGCTAAAATCCTAAATATACGGTTGTTAAAATCGCGCGTAAACAAACGAATACTCGCGCAAATCTGCGATCGGAGAGAATGTAATTAATTACGGAGGCGACACGCGATTCGGTTCGGAGCATCGCCGACGACGCTTCGGACGAACTTAACCAACGAGCCTCGCGCGTCCCCGTCCGAAGGAGCGAGGAAAATCGCGATTCGCCATGCCGTTTCATCGCCCACCTGCCAACGACGAGTATGAACGTTACACAATCCGATGGGACGGGAACGCGGTCGCCGCGACCATATGATCGGCATCTCATTAAAAAAAGAAAAAAAAACAGTCCGGCGCACTCACTCTCGCCGCCGAAGGAGAGAGCGCCGCGACGCTGGCTCGACGGTGCCGTTCGCGTGGTGCCAACGCTCGCGGATGCCAGGGAACCCCGCGTCGCGGCGAGTCGCGTCCTCTTCGTTCCGCGCGGGGATGCGTCGCGCTTCTCCACGCGAGCGATCCCCCGCGTCGTCGGGCCGCGATCAATCCGACAAGAGGACGACGCGGAGGACGGATAGGAACAGGGAGAAAGAACGAGGAAGAGAGAGACAGAGAGAGAGAGAGAAAAGGCAAGAAGAAAAGAGGGAGAGAGAGAGAGGAGCAGAAGGACCATCAACCCTCAGGGGCCCGATCGACTTCTGGCACCCGGGGAGGGCGGTGACTCGCGGCGGGATCTTCGCGAGACGACGGTTCCGGGAGCGCGGCTCGCCGCGCGCGTCCTGGGCGTCGCGGCGTCGTAAATAAACCCGCGGCGCGGCCGGGCCGGCCCGGCAAGTCGCGCGATCGTGTCGGCTCGGGTCGAGTCGGCGCGGATCCGGCCCGCGTTCGGCGGTCCTCCCGTCGTACCTCAGCGTCTCGGCCGTGGAATCACGCGCTGCTACGTGCGGGCCTCATCGTCCTCCGACTCCGGTCAGGCATCCGACAACATACAACCATGGGGGGGCCCCGCCACGGTCGGCTCGCTCACGCTCGGTTCACGTTTCACGCTCGCCTCGCTCGCTCGCTCGCTCGCTCGCTCGGCGCACTCGCGGCGACACGACGGCGGCAAAAGCCTGGCCCCGCTGCCTCCGTATCGCGCTGCCGCGCCGATCACGACGACGCCCCGGGCACCCACGTAGGCCGGCTGCACGATCACGACACGCCCTCAGTTATCGGCATCACCGCGGCGAGCTCGGCGCACGTTCATTGTGTCCCATGGAAATTCGAACGAGCACCGTCCGCCATGTTCGGGGAAACACTTGCTGGTCTACTACGCGGATCAAACGCGCCACCACACCACCGCGAGACGACACCGCGAAACGCCTAGGGACGTAGCGAGGCCTCGCCGATGCCCTTCGGGATACGTCGGGGCGAAGCACCGTTCGTTCGTTTATCCTTATAATATCCTTATGGATCGATCGCATTTTGATGCCTAAAATTCGAAACTTGTTCTTTGTGTAATAATATTAATGCCATTTTTTTATTCCGTTTGTTTGTAATAACCATTGAAATTTTAGCTTTTTTTTTACACAAATATATTGTATATTTACATAATACATAACACATTAATTGTAATATGTTGCAAGAAATTATTTTTGTACATGGAAACTTCGGAATATCATCAACGTCTGACCCAGATTCGATGTCGACCTCTTATTTTTAAACACTGATATCCATGCTAAAACTCATACCGTTCGAAATATATTGCATGTGCAAATTATGTTCTTTTTACATACTTTTTAAAAATATGTATAACTATTTGAGATCACAAAAGGGAATAATTTCAAAAATTTATGTGCGTTTTATTTTTTAAAGACAATAATTATTCCTCTTTAATTTAAAAGAAGTAAATTAAGTTTTACAAGTATTACAATAATGGACAATCCATTATGATAAAAATTAACAACAATCATCGCCTCGTGTTAAGTTAATATTTCATTTGTCACACGACAAATTTTTTTAATGTATTGATTGGCTGTAGAAGAAAGAAGTTTACGAGTCTCCAGAAATTCTGTGTCCAATCAATATACTTGAAAAATTTGTCAAAAATATTAGCTCCTTAGAAATGACATTCAGTTTGGAGTAGTTTGGAACGTGGCTCTCGATTCAAATGGCCGACAGTGGTCACCATTTGGGCCTTCTGTTGCGGTACAGACATAACATAAACAATCGATATTTCGGTCGTTGAAGCGTTCGAAGTAGCGTGACAAATACGAGCGGTCGGAATTACTATTTAAGAAACGATCGTCCCCGCCGATTGCGTCGCCCTCGTGTCGCCCGAACATCTCAAACGCTCGAGCAGTACGCCTTCCACAACAATGCACTCTTATCCATATCGTGGAGTTGCAAAATTGCTCGATGCGATTTTCCACGGCAGCCTCTCGCTTGCCGATCATCGGTTTAAGAGTATCGGTCGACAGACGTCGATCGAAACGTTGTCGGCAGGGAGAACCTTAAATACGTCTCGTTAAAAACTTTAGAAACTTAAATCCACGAGTCTCGTCTATGCATTTCCTAGATTATATTAAAGTCTAATGCCCTGTCTACTGTAAATTTTCTACTGGCAGAACGCCAGCATATAACTGAATTTGCTAAAATGTGATGGCAGATTGATTGCAGATAGGGCATATTCTCTGTCATTCTCGGCTCCTAACAAAATACATATGTTTAATGCGAATATATAAATTGATATAAATTTGCCGTTTTTCTGTATGAATTTGTTTACAAATTGCTTTAGCAGTCACGTTCGTGACGTTAATAATCTTCACGGTATCACCTATCGCGAAGATTATTAAAGAAATCTCGACATCGCGGGACTTTTTTAAAAACTTTGTACGTAAAATAATGCTCTCCAAATTATGAGTGTTATATTTCTTTTCTTCTCTAATAACACATACCCGCCTTTATATTATTTTATTGTTGGAGTTCACTTGCGAATTGATTTGAGGCGATTGGATACCGAACGTGTTTCAAAATCGGCTATACTCACGTGTTTTGGCGAACAGAGAACCTTTGCAGCCTGCGAAGTTGCGATATAAAACTTTATTTTGAACTTCACTCGACGCATTCGGCTTTCAAAATTCTTTCAACACATTTCTCCACTTTAATCGTTTCTATTTATTTGCGTTAAATGGAGGCTTTTGTAATTTTTTTTATCTTTGACCATGAAGATGTTGTTTCATTAATATAATAATACACAAAAATTGAAAATTACTAAACATATAATTGTACCTCGTTTTAACAAGCCCCTCCGGAATATTATACTAAAGTTTTAAAATCAAATTTAGCGTTGTTTTTGAGATTTTCTTAAAAATAAGGAGCTTACTTAACATTCGTTAATTCAATAAAGTTATTGACACGTCTACAATTATAACTTCTGATTTTAAATCGATGGTTGACATGGAATAAGAAATGGTATAAAAATAAATACACGATTTATTTTCTTTGTAACTTTTACAAAGAAATAAAATTACGTACAATTATACAAAATCTCTTCAATAGAAGTGCGCAGAAATAGATCATAAATTATAGGTATAAGTAATTCGAAAAATGTTCGGAATATGTGTTCCTAAGTGCGATAAATATTTAATTGGTAACTTAGTAGATTTCATCGATTTAAACAGAATTAAAAGCATGGAGAGTCCTCGATTTATAAAATTTTGTTAACAAGTTTTAAACGAGTAAACACACGCGCGTGAACTCATCGCGTTTCTTCTCACGCTCTAGCACTTTGATACAGTTAATTATGGAAAGTTAAAGGGGCTAAAAGGAAAGTGTATTTTAAGTGGAAGGGATTCGTTCTCGCTCAATGGATGGCTGCTGCGCGAATTAATTTCGACGAAAGCAAAATTTCATAAAACGAGGCCTCGGTAAAACCTATGTAAAGCCCATCGTGAATTTTTGATCGGACGACACGGTAAATAAGAGTGACAAAGGGTATATAGGGTGTATCAAAATTTTAATAAAGTTTTCCCCGTGTGTCACATCGTCGTCTTAATGAGAATTCTTCGTGATACCTTTAATATTGCAATAGGCAGCAAAAGGCGCCCTTTACGGCTGTTATTTCTAAAATACATAAATTATAGACGCGAAGTCTGTTAATAAAATACAATTTACACCCATATTGTGAAATATATGACACGAGTCCTTTTTAATAAAGGTTGAAAAGAAAAATAGTATGCAATTGTGATATTAAATGTAGAAGTAATAAAATTAAGAGAAGTAATAAAATTAATTTCTCATCGTATTGTGCTTTTCATTATCTTGCTATTACTATTCGTTTTAATATTTCACGCAAAAAAACGCAGGTAAATATACAATCGTTAAAAAAAATTCAAATAATTGACAACTAAATTCGTATATCGTACGTATACCAAATTAATTGAAGAAAAAAAAAAACGTTACGACGGTGCTATTAGATGTCGCGAAATTGCGAGATTTCAACGAAAAAGTGTGTGAGCGCAATTGCATAATATTTCACGTTAAGCGGAATAAATAATATAATATATATTCGAGGTAATAAATATGGAAATGTCGATTTCAACGCAGGATTTCATTGATAATATGTCTTTCGTCCTGCGCAATTTGTAACTTCAAGAATTCTTATAATCGTTAGCTTGGTCGAAGGTTAATACGCAGTTGAACCGTAGAAAGGTTCAACGATCTTATTATTTCCACAACCGTGCGAATGCGACACGGTATATACGTTTGTATCCGTATAAAAAGGTTATACAATTATTAACAATCGACTTTCGTCATACCGCGATTTACTATGCAATTCAATATGCATCAGAGGAAAATTTGTATCGTTCGCAAAACATATTTCTTTAAAAATTTTTTTCATGTAAAAATTGTGTTATTCGTAATTTATGTAATCAAGTTAAAAAAAAAAAAAAAAAAAAAGTTTAACAGCGTTGCATCGCCGTTAATTTAACTTTCCGTACTTCCATTTTCCTTTTTAATTTCAAAATTGAATTTATTATTAATTTTTGGCAGGAATGATCATAACGCGCATTTTTTCGATTAGGTTGAGAGTCCGACGTTTGTCTCGATTTATCAATAAATACTTTAAATGCTATATCAACTTATTTTGAACAATTTCGCAAAATTAAAAAGACATTTAAATTTATCTACCAAAATCGCTAGATTTTCAAGGAAATATCATTTAAATATATCCGAAACAAAAATATAGGTTGCCGTTTTGCCAAAATAATTGCTATTTTCACAAAATGTAATTTTCATATTGATTTATGATCAATCAAATTTTCATTCTATAAGACAAGATTTTTTACTTAACAAAGATGAAAAATATTTTAATGCGCAATATGTATACAGTTCTTGTAAATGTCATAAATAACATAATATCATTCCATGATTATTACTCTGACAAATAATACGTATATACACAAGATGTATTAATAAGAAACGGAACATTTCTTTTAGACATTTTGTGTATTAGAATATTTTAAAGCGTGTATATTCGTACGTATAGACTTATTCGTATTCAGACTTATGTCAAACAACAAAATAACATCTCTCAATAAAATAATAGATAATTATTTACATATGTTATTCCCTTCACTAATCGAATATCAATGATTTAATGTTTTGATAATTAATGTTTATCGAGAAAAAGATCAATGTGTGTATTTCCCGATTACTTCACGATTATTTATAGATATAAACGCGTAGATACAAACAGTTTAGATTCGATTAGAGATGCTGCTAATGATTTATCTCACAAAAAAATTTGATTTACAACCACGTAAGAAAGAAAACATTTCCAAATTGTAGACTTTTATAAATCTTATATAAATTGAAAAATACTCTCAATATTTTAAACATCTCTATGCCAGCTGTTTACTTTTAAATCGATGACGCGAAGGTGTCAAAATACGTTCAAGTAATTCAATCTTTTTCCCTTCGACGCTATCCATTCAACATGTTTGGTAACTTCAATATAGACTTATAGACCTACCGAACAATTTCATACGTATAATACATACAAACAATCTTTTCCGACATAAAACTATCCTTTAGAAGTTTAGAACATCTTCTTCTTGACCGCCGTGTAGCGTTCCATGTACTTGTCGTAACCATCCAGGTCCGCGAACTGCTTCATCTCAAAGAGATTCCCTTCGAGCGCCAGCACCGAGACCTTGGAGTCCTTGAGGAGCCCGAGCGGCACCGAGCTCAGCTGCAGGCAGTTCTCCTCCAACCGCAGCGTCTTCAGTCGCGGGCACTCCGCCAGCTTCTCGGAGATGGTGGCGATTTGATTCTGATTGAGATTGAGCTCGATCACGTGGAGGCCGGCGGCGGCGTCCGGCACGATCGTGAGCCGATTCCTGGAGAGATCCAGGACGTCCAGGTGCCGGAGGCCGCAGAACATCAGCGGGAAGTCGGAGATCTGATTGTCGGACAAATTGACCTGCTTCAAGTGGCTCAGATTCGCCAGCGACGACGGGATCGATCGGATCTGATTCGCGGCGCAGTTGAGGCCCTCGAGCTTCTCGAGCGCGCCCAGGGTGCCGGGCAGAGCGGTCAGCCGGTTGTGGCTGAAGTTGAGCTGCCTCAGCAGCGTGAAGTCGCCGATCTCGTTCGGCAGGGTCGCGAAATTGTTCTCGGACAGGTCCAGGGTGCGCAGCGTCGGCGCCAAGTCGTGGAGCTTCCGCGAGAACTTGTCCAGCTTGCACTGCGACAACTTGAGGGTGGCAGTCTTCTCCGCGGTCTCGTAGTGCCTCTTCACGGCGGAGTTGCCCATGTTGCCTCAGCGCCAACGGTGTCCTCGCGAGCGATCAATCGTTGCGGACCTTTCCCCCTATGAACGAGAGCGTCGTGAAAAAAGAAAATTGACTGTATATCCGAGCTACCGTGATCGTATATCGAGTGCCGCTTTTGAAGCAGAGTTTTGATCGCAGTGCGTTGTCCGGCCGAGGCGGCAATCTTTTATCGTAAATTCGGGTAAGAACTGCGCTCGGATTGTTTTCGAAGTAAATACGATCTCAATTCTTATTATTTTTTTATATATATATGATACTCAAAGATATTTACATCAGGTGCGTGAAAAACGAGAAAGGATCGCGCTGTATCTGCATATGTATAGTTCGAAATATTCCGCGAGATGCGCGAATTTCGACGGTCGCAACGCAAAACCTTATCGATGTAGGGGGGAGGGGGGGGAACCCGCGAAGCGCGAAACCGTCGTCGACTGTACCACCGTCACCGCGGGGGGTGACTTTTGCGCGGCGCTGTACCGGTGCGCGCGCTCGCGCTACGGTGGAACTGTGTTCACTCCGTCCGACGATCGAGATTTCCGTGATCGGCGAAACCGCCTCCGTAGGCTCCGTACCGTCGGAGGGGGACCGACTGCAACGTGTCTCTCGCCGCACACGGCGCGGCACACACAAGAAGCGACGCACGTCGCGCTCCCGTTCTCGCGCCTCGCCCGCGGACACGCGAAGACGCGGTGAGAATCACACACACACACACGGTGGCCGCCTCCCCGTCCGTCGGCCCGTTACCGGCGTCCGCGTTGCGCGAGGTACATACATACACAGGACAGGAGGAGCGAAATATTGCCATCACGCGACTGAGAGTCCGCGTCCGCCATATTGACGGGAGTCCATCCGGGTTCGCGTCCTCGCCGTCCGATGGCGCGGGCGGCGCGCTCACGAGCGCGCGCGCGCGCGCGCACGCACCCGCTCGCCCGAAAAATGGCCGACAAACGAAGATGTAGCGATGCGCGTCGGGTTTACAACAGACTGAAAACGCCGCGGCAGCCACGAGTGTGTAGTACACGATGCGGCGGTGCGCGGACGTGGTGAGATAGTGAGATCGACGTCACCGCGGCGAACGACGTACCGGGTTAACGATGGCCTCCACGCCGAAGACGGAGAAGCACGCAGGTAAGATAACCGCACTACTCTCTCGTTGATGCGATAACTGGGTGAGGGGGGGGGGCGAGCGAGCGAGCGAGCGAGCGAGCGAGAGGGAACGAGCGCGCGCGGGCGTGAGAGATAGAGAGAGTGAGAGAGAAGGAGAGAACGAAAAAAGAGAGAGCGAGAGAGAGAGGAAGACGGAAGAGAGGGCGCGTACGCGACAGGCGTGCGAGACCGCGCGACGTTCCTGCCTTCTCTCGCGGGGAGATCCTTCCTGATAAGAAAAAATTAAAAAAATAAACAATAAAACGGTCGCGATCGTACCCACTTGACGTCGATCTCGCTTATCGGCAGCATCCACCCGCCGGGTGTCTCAAACTGGGCCGACTCGGTCGAAAGCCGTGTGTTTAATGCAATCGGGTGGCGTTAACCCGACGACGACGCTATACCGGATGCGAAATGTCAAAAGCATATGCGTACCGTATGCCCTGCATTGTGCACGCCTGATTTTTCTCCCGTTTCTCCGCGAGGAACGGCATGCCCGGGGGGTATATCCGTCGATCTTCCTCTATACAGTCGCGTTTTACTCCAAGAAATCCGACGTATTTACGATAATGACAGACCTGTCGAAGAAAAGAGAAAAAAAGAACGCGATCGGTTCGCTTCACTCACGAGGAATTCTCTTTCTCTCTCTCTCTTTCTCTCCTTCGCAATCGTTTCCGCTCGCATGCTCGACTTCGAGAAACGAGACGCGTCAGTAATCTTGATTCGTCGGTTCCTATGATAATTTACGCCTCATGATTTCGTGTTCCTTCCCAATTAGTCACAGCTCCACAGCCGGAGTCGAGTATACACCGATAGCTTGGGTCAATCCATTCTAAACAGACGACGCTGTTTTCTAGGGAGGAAAAAAAGAGACGATATTTAGTCAGGAATAAATCGACCGAAGTTATATCAACAGCTTGAGTTAATTCATTTCAAGCAGATGATTCAATATTATTTTCTGCGACGAGAGGAAAGAGACGATGTTTAGATAGAAATAGATTAGCCTGAGAGCTAGAGAGAAATTATTCAGTCCAATCAAGTATATAAATTGTGCACAGTCGTGACAATCGACAGACGAAGTAAACGAGCGATTTTCTTTGAAAGAATTAAATTCACACGATTTGATCTTGAACGTGATACTTTAGAGAGATATATTTACGCAAGTAAGTAGATCTCTTTTTGTGAGAACGCTCTGTTTTTCCAAGGGGCGCGATCCAGCTGTTTTCGCGAGCTGGTGAGCATGTCTTTATTTGCGAAGTTGCAAAGCGCGCAAAATGCGTTGAGAATTAGAGGAGCCAATCCAGATATCTAAATGCGACACGCTGTACAATTTCTTATGTTCGAGAAACTTTTAATGAACAACTAAATTTCTTTGTTTTTATTTATTACGCTAATTATCGTACAGCTTAATGTGTGATCGACAAAGAGTGTGTCGTGTTGACCTCACTTGATCCTGGAGACAGCTTCAGGAGGAATTGAAATAAAGTAACAGACCGGGAGACTAAACGCCAATTTTTAAATGTCTTATTTTCGGTTTCAAGACCGTTTCCTCTTTTTCTCGCGGAGCATTTTTCAGCGATGGAATTATATGGAGGCGGTAATAGCGCGAGCCAAAGTGGAGTGTGTCAATAAACTTTGCGCGTGTCCAGGCACAGACCCCGGGATCGTGATTCGAACAGCTGGCCGTGTCACGAGCCTTCCGTCCCACAATTCGCCCCTTCCGAACAAAGACCTATCCCACCCTGTGCCCCTGTCCCTGGCCTGTGACCGAGAACGACTATATTTTTCGTGGCGATTACGCGAGTCCTTTCTCCCTCTCCTTTCGCCCTCGTTTGGCTGCCCTCTTTCACGGGGTATCCACGTACACGCCCCTCTCCGTGCATTTCTCACTTTTTATCGGCGCAATTTCCTCCTTGCACACGACGGTTCTTTTGACTTCAAGAACGTCGACTCGTTTTTTTTTTTTCAAAATCGCCACGCGTTTTTCGCTATCCAGACATTAAGACGAAGTTTAGATTCCCGCGCGGGATTCGAAAAAAAAAAACGCGATTATTTGGATATCATAGGAAAAAGTAGAGTAAAACTAGCTCGTTACTTATTATTTTTTATTTTTTATTAGCTACGTAGAAAAATGATTGATTAATTGATATATTTGATTGATATATGAATGAAACGAATATCAATGATGTTGTGAATGATTGATATGAGACGTAAAAATCGTTGAGGTTCACAAATAAAGATTGTGGCAGCTAACAGAGGATAATTATATTTTAGACGAAATCAATTGGTAATTTAATATAATTTTTAATTCCTTCAGTGGGATAATTTTTTTAAGGAAGGAAATGTCTATTTTAGATTTTTACATAGCTGGATATTTTAATACTTTCAATATGCAATAGGTGAATGTACATGTATAAGCTCTCTGTTGAGTACATATTTAACGTACCTACACAGCGTATATGCTATTGTAAAAATTGCGCATTGTACTTCTATTTTAGATGATTCGTCAATATTGTCAATATTTCAGCCTGGCGCGATATTTCATTCTTGTGTCTTTAAAACATTTTTTTTCTCCGTTACATCTCCGTTATATCATCCGTACGAATGCCGAAAGGTAAAATATTGGAAAAAAAAAACGCCCATACGTTTTTTCATATCGCGCGGTACAAGTTCGTGTGTCGCGTACAAAATCACAGAATTTCTAGAAGCGGATAAATGCCGGGATCTATTGGGCGGATCAGATTTTGATAATACTCAATGTAACAGGTGTTATAGCCTTATCAGAGCTGATATACGTTCGACCTCGAAGGGATATATGACAGCCGGACACAGAGGAGGCACTTAGGTAAGGGTAGTTCGATCAATTTGTCGGGTAAAACTAACATCAATTAACCCTATGCATTATCTGCTTCACGTAATTGCGTTTAATTCGAGTCGATCCGTCGGCGGCCGCTGCAATCGTAACGCGTTTGCCGGTGCGGACGTTGCTTTTTTTTTTTTTTCGTTTATTATCCTCCAACATTTTCTCTCCTGAATGAATTAGTTCGCGTTTAATTGCCCCGAGCGCAACGCGGAAGCATTATTCCGTATTTCAAGATTTTCGGAGTTTTAATCGATTTTTCAAATACGGCGTAAATTCCATTTCCAGAAATGGCTCTCTTTCTTTCTCGATGGAAAAAAAATATCGGACATATTTTCATCGCTCGCGGCCGTAGCGATTGTCGAATATGTTTCGCCTGAAATCTCGTTTGGAAACGATAATATCTCTCTCTCTCTCTTTGAAATAGGAATACTATATATTACATTGTGATTTTATTGGCCAGTGCCACAACAAGTGAGATCAATAGTAAATCTGCCATAGCCGCGACGTATAAACCTCCTCCTGAATGGCGGACTCATTAAATTTCCAACTAGGAGAGGATTTAGATACAGTCGCATTGAAATAATTCTATAGTGGCAAGTGTACCGTGTTGTGTGCGGGGAAAACGCATGACGACGCTGCCGCGATGCCACTGAATGCCGTCGGCGGTACCTCGTCCCCGAGATTCGAGTAATCTTACGGGAGAGAGGCGGAGTGGATACGGAGCGCGAGGGGGTGGGGGGGGGGGTGGAATGGCAAAGCGGAAGGTGGAAGCGCGAGATCGGGATCTCGTCGGATCCACTTCATCTCGCCGGGATCCCTTCGTCTCTGTTTCGTTACCATTGTGCCCATTATGGCCTTTGTACGCGGCTGCTTTAGCCGCGTCGCTGCCTAATCCGCTGCGCTAGACTCCTCTCATCTTCGTTACTGCAGCGACTGCGGCGCCAAGCAAGCTTCCGCTAATATCCGCTGCTAAAAGCACTCGCGCGTGCTCGCAAAGTAAAAATTCCCGAAATTTGCACGCCTCTCGCTTCCACAGATGAAAGATAATCCTTGTCTGCCGGATCTAACGAATCGTTTATATAAATGCGTGACGAACCTTTCTACGTACGATGAAAACGGTAACGTGCGACTCGCGTATCTTCATAATTGTCCGTAAGACAAGCGTAATGATTTCGAAGCGTGCATAATGAGTGGTTAATTGCATGTATTAAAAGATGTTGCGAGTACGGTAATAATGAATACCGTCTCCGGGTAATAATTTATGAGCGTTTGCTGAAAATTGCTCAACAAATGGAAAAAGAATTTGCCCGGGGCAATTGTTAAAATAATTTTCATAAATTTTTTTTAACCATAAAAGAATATTGAAATGGTTATGCAATTATACGTGAAGATCTGGCTTTAGATTTGGCATGGATTTTTCGCGAGTGTTTATGTATGTACAGCAACAAATGAGTTTGAGTTTTAGTTATTTTGCTGTCTATTTTAATTTTAATACGGAATTTCGTAAATATATTTTATGTATAGCTTACTGCGAAACAGAGATACGCAAAATTTAGTGTACATAACATATAAAGAAACGTTTTCAAACATTTAAACAGTAGCGTAGCTGTAATTAACGTGGCATGCGGTGGAACATGCTTTCCTCGATGGACTCCATTACCGCAATTACATTACGTGCTCTATAAATTTTCATTAGTACGACGCGATATCAAAAGAGTACAAGGAATGCTTGAAGATTGACGGAAATGTCCATTCGATCTT